TTTTCTGTAACAAAAATCATTGCATGTTACCCAGCTGCCTGTAATCATTATATTTTCTGAACTGGAAGATAGATAGTGATGATTACAGAAGAATATTAACATGATCAACAAAAACTCTGTATTTCTAATATTTCGCTTTTTAATATGAAGAAAAGCTTGTCAATTCATTTTTCTTAATATCTTTTAGAAAATAAACAAGTTTAATTTTGGTTAAGTTCAATTTGCCAATTTTTTTGATTATTGTTTTTTGTGTTCTAAGAAATCAGAGAAGGGCATGGCAGCTCACTCCAGTATTCTTGCCTGGAGGATCCCATGGACAGAGGAGCCTGGAGGGCCCTAGTCCATGGGGGCCCAAAGAGTTGGACATGACTGAAGCGGCCTAGTAAGCAAGCACTCTATCTACTCCAAGATTATGAAAATATTTTCCTATATTCTAGAAGCTTTATATTACACTTACAATCAACCGAGATTCATTTTTGTGTATGGGTGTGGTGGGTTGAGATTTATCATTTTCATATAGATAGCCACTTATTTCAACAATACTTGCTAAAAAAGACTTTCCTCTTCCCATTAAATAGATTTAGAGCCTTTGTTGAAAATCAGTTATCAGTATGTGTAGACTTATATTTCTGGTTTCATTTTGTTTAATACTGTCTTGATCCTGTAACTTTAAGTAACTTAAAATCAGGTACTATAAATACTCTAGCTTTGTTCTTTTTTTCAGTATTGGCTGATTGTTCTAGATCCTTTGCATTTAAATATAATTTTAGAATAATCAATTTCTTAAGAATAATTAGATTAGGATAACCTATCCCTTCAAAAGTAACTTGCTGGAATTTTAGTAAGGGTTTCATTAATTCTGTATATTCATTTAGAGAAAGCTATAGCAATTTGAGTTTTTTAGTCCGTGAAAATAAATATCACTGCATTTTCTTGGACATATTCTTTCTCTCAGCAATGCTTTATGGTTTTCAGTATGGTCTTGCACAAATTTCGCTAGCTTTATTCCTGGGTATTTGTTGTTTCATTGATACCATTGTAAAAGTTTAATTTTTTGTTATTGCAGATATATAGATATATGATAAACATATACATTGATGTTGTATCCTATGGCCTTCCTGTTAGGTAGTTAGACATTAACAACAAGGAAGTGACAGAGGTGAAAGATGCAAGAGGGGGATAATTCAGCTAAGCCCCAACCATCTGAGGACCCTCACTTGGGGGACAATCATTTAGGCCCCACCCATCTGGAGACCCTCCTCTGACCTCACTCAGAACCTGTGAAACTCTGGTTGGTTGGTGAGCAACTTATTCTGACAAACAGGGAGCGCAGTAACATAAGAGAAGGCCCTGGGCATTGCATGCCCTGACTAGACTGGCATGTAACTTCTAGTAAACTCAGACTTCATATATACCAACATTATAATAAAATCTACCCCTCCCCACACACACCCAAGCAATAATGAATGTGTTACAGATATCAGGGCAGTCAATCAAATAGCTATTCCCTGTCTTTCACCCATGATTACACTCCACCTCCTCATAGAACAACTTATAAAACAACCTGAAGCCTGTATGCATGTGTGTTTAAGTCACATCAGTCAATGTCTGACTCAGACTCTGAATTGCAGCCCACCAGGCTCCTCTGTCCATGGTATTCTCCAGGCAAAAATACTGAAGTGGGTTGTCATGCTCTCCTCCAGGGGATCATCCCGACCCCATGATGCAACCTGCATCTCTTATGTCTCCTGCATTGGCAGGAGGGTTCTTTATCACTAGCGCCACCTGGGAAGCCCCTACGCCTGTATAGGTGGGCTGGTTTTACTTTCCAGAAACATCCCCGCTCTCTCTCTTAGAGTATATCTATGCTTTAATAAACTTTGCTTTGAGCTTAAGCCTGAAGTGGTAGTTTGCAAATTTCTATTGCAAGGTCCAAGATTGCTGGTTGGGGACTCCAGTTGACTTCCTCTGTTGAAACTCTGTCTGACATATCTCATGGTAACATTCCAAATTCAGTTATTAATTCAGCAGTTTATAGCTTCCTTTGGCTTCCTTTTGGTATAAGGAGAAAACTAAATCTATCTTTCGCCCCTGTTTCTCAGTCCACTTCTCCAGTTCTTATTCCACAAGGCATCACAGAACCAGATTCTTTTCTCTCTTTTGAGAAATAGGCAGTGCACATAAAAAGTAGCCCCATACAGTATATATTACAAACAGTTTTATCTTTTGATGGTCCCTCACTCCACCTTTCTGGGAGGATCCAGTTTGTTTCTGGGTATCTACAATTCATATGAAAATGTATTAAACAAGTTTTCATATACTATATTTGTTTTATCCAAATTTATAATATAAAAAATGAAAGTATTATTCCATTTCTATTTAACAATATGAATGAATAGAAAACTCTACATATTGTGAGTATTTTTTTGGAGTATTACAATTTAAAATTATATATGTTCTGTTCTACAATCGGTTTTGAGGTTCAGTGGTTTTCAGTATTGGCTGTTCATTGGAATCATTCAGCTTGCTTTAATAAAAATACTGATATGTGGGTTCCACCCAAGAGAATCTGATTTTATTGATATGGAGATGGACTGGGCAGAGGGATTTTTTAACGTTCCCTTGGTGACTTTAATGTGTAGCCAATTCAAGAACTGCTATTTATACCTATATAGTTTATATAGTTTGTATTTGTAATGTTTATAAGTAGTGTCATGGATCAAAAAGTTAAATAGCTTGGAAACAAAATTCAAACAACCTTACATAAAGCAATTAACATTTTCATATGACTCTTTCTGGAACGTCCCAAATGGAAACCTTAGCAATGAACTGTAATGAACTTATAACTGTAACTTGTAAGTGTAAGTCTCTTTCAAACACAAAATATGATACAATTTAGGGGAGAAAACTTAAAAACCCATTGTACTGATACTCAGTACTGATCTTTAACCTTTTGTAGTCATGGAGAGTTGCCTGGGTACAATGTAATACTAAGTCAAATGGTCTATTTCTCTGATCCAGATTGCTTTCTTATATTCTTCAATTCTAAAAATTTAAACAATATTTTAAATAATGCAAGCAACACATGGCAAGGAATAAATAAAACTACTGTTACCTAGAGTATTAGTTTTAGAGGAGTTTGTTTTAATTTCCAAAATGAAGTAACTATCTAAATAGTTCAGTATCAGATACAATATCTTGATGGGTTATTTAAATTCCAGTGTCTTAGCATGTTGCTTGATTGAGGTGTGCATAATGCTACATTAGAACTTTTGTAAATTTTAGACCAATTTTTGAATCTGAAGTTAGGTATATAGCACAGGCAAAAAAAATATTATGAAACACAGTACTCAGCACAGTGACACAGTTAAATTCTGAGTAGTCATTACCAGACTGGCAGGTATTCAGGAAGGATGGAAGAGGGGGAGGGGAATATTATCTCTCCCCATCTCTCTATCGGTATGCATATATTTATTAGGCTATACCTAATCCACACATATTAGTAGAACAGTGCATTTGAAGTCTATCATGAGAATTTCTACAAAAATATAAAATGTTTCTGGAGAAGGATTGGATATAAATTCCTCCTTTGCCATTTAAGACCTTTGTAAAATTGGAGAAATCAGTTAAACTCTTAAGATTTACTTCTCATTTGCTTAAGTGCATGTAATAATACTTCTTAGGAATGTTATGAAGATTGAGTGTGATCATGTTTATGAAAATCCTTACCCAACTGGTGGCCTGGATCTTCAACATATGATCATTACCTGATGTCTTAATTAAACCTAAATCACTTTTATTTTCATATTATTTAAATCTGAATTTTGTAAAATGCAATTTCCAGTAAAGAGTAGCAACGGACACCAAATAGCTTCTCCTCTCCCTTAGTAAATTTATTTTACCAATCTCAATCATTTTAACACTTCATTATCCTTCTCTAACATGGCCGAGAAAAAAAAGAGTTGATCTAAGTATGTGAAAGGAGAATATATCTTAAATTGTGCACTGACATCAATGCTCTTATTATTTTATGTACTGGAATTTATATCATCTTGATGCTTTGACCTTGCTAACTCAGTGTATTTCATAGATCAAAGATGATATTTTCACTTAGAGAACTTGTTATAATTATAGATCTACCCAATCACAATTTCCATTTTATCAAAATTCCCAACTAATTAATATATACACACGTTAGAGTTTAAGAAGCAGTGGAGTAGATTATAAACAGTTGGATATTAGTCATGAAAATTTTTAAAGATATGATCTAAACTTTGCATAAATTCTTATTGTATAAATTTTTATTCTGGATCCTATGGATACAGTTAGATTTTTTGTAAAGAACAGAAAATCAGGAGTCAACGCACACTTTTTTATTTTTTTAATTGGCTGTGTCATTTAGTGGTAGTGAAAATCCATCAAGTTCTTAAACCTCTAAGAATATCTGTCTTAGCATTTTCAAAGTGAAGGGCTAGTTAATACATTTCCTGGTACTCAATGGGGTTATTTAGAGGTTCAGATGAGCTGGCACTTTAACAATTGTTAAGGTCTTTACTTAGGCACTATTGTAATCTATACATTTAGATCAGCTGACCATAGGTAAATTTTGAGTAAGACCTTCTAAAGAAGGAAGACAGAATGGCAACCACACAGTTTGGTTAATAACTATTTCTTTATGGCTGCTATTTTATAGCAAAAATAGAAGATGGCTTAGGGAAGGAGTATCTTAAAGAGAAGGGTAGTTTTCGGTAATCTTGATCTTTATTTTTATTGACTGATTTGTGTTGAGTGGATGGTCCAATCAGTTGCTTTGTAATTAGCTCACAATGAAATATTAGTCAGAATTTTCCTTCAATTATTCCTAGGAATGCTTCTCAGTTAAGAATTGACTTGAGGTCCTAGGAAATGTCATGTCCCCTGGATTCACACTGCAGTGAGGACACCGTGAGGGATATCTTTATGGAAGCCAACAATGCGAATTCTGGTTCTTTCCATTACAGATAAAAAGACTTGTGGTCCTCATGAATTCCAGTGTAAAAACAACAACTGTATTCCAGATCACTGGCGGTGTGATAGCCAAAATGACTGCAGTGATAATTCAGATGAAGAAAACTGTAGTAAGTAACTCTTGCTTGAGAACGTTGCAAGCTTGACAGTCTATTCAATAAGCAGGATAGCAATTTTTAGTTTAGTTAAGATATGAATTTGAACCTGTCTTGCAGCTCACATTTTTATACATGTATTCACATTTGAACAAGAATATTCAGACTAAATTGACCTGAATCTCAAATGGTAGAATTATTGAAATGGCTCATCCTGGGAGTTATTTTCTTACAGTTATCAGAATTGGTATGAAAGTATCATGAGGTTTAATGCAACCTGTTAGTATGCAATGAAAGAAACCCTTGATGCAAGTTCATACAAAGAGCTGAATGATGTGGAGACAGTACAAAACATATCATTCTTTAACCGATGGTATTCATTTTATTTCAGTCTCAAATCCATTTACACTACAAATTCACCCATGAGCATCTTTCAGTGTAATATCATTTATTCTCTCTGGAGTGGTGAACACCATATGTATTCAGGATGCTATTCTCTGAAAATAGAATAAAGCAATTTTCATCTTCTGCCTTCTGCATTTTTATGTAATAAGTTTAAAAAACATTAATTAGCCAGCGATTTTATTTTCTAAAAAGCATGAAAGTATGGAAAATTGTGACAGTATCTCTATCTTCTAGCATTCATTTCTGAACGTATTTCTTACCAGCACTTTCTTATACTGCTGTTTAAACAAAAAGGCAATATAATCATGTTCAAAGTAAGATAATAATCAAAATTCCATTATTAAATATTAACATTTTACTACTTCCCAAAAGAATTTATGACAACAATAATATCTACTCTTATACATTGGACTTAGAATATTCATTTCCCATGATGCAAGAAACAAAATAGGAATTGTTATATTAAAATGTTGGGATATATTATATAAAAGCATACAATTAGTGGAATCACAGCCTTAAAAAACTACTTGGGTATTCAGTTTGCAAAATATCAACTAATGGTTTGAGTCACTTTCAAAATTTAATCTGACTAGTATTTGAGGATCAGGGACCTTAAGCATGAAATCTCTGGATAATTATGATTATGAAATACTTTGAATATAGAAACCTTTATTATTACATCTTCATATAAATATCTCCCAACTAAATATACTCTTTAGAAAGGTTAAGTGCATTGCAGAGATTTATTAGAGTGTTTTAGATTTCTTTAAACATTAATTAAAAAATTATATAGCAGGTCTCAGATTCTGTACAGTGATTAAAATAAAAATCTAATGGGTGTGATGATGGTAAGACTAGAAGAGTGATTTCAAAAAACAATTGTGTATGTACTTTTTATTTATTTTAATTTCATTTCAGAGCTTAAATACACAGATTAACTACTCAGCTTAGTTTTGGAAAATTTAGTGTTAATTATCAATATTATCTTGGCTTCCCTGATAGCTCAGTTGGTAAAGAATCACCTGCAATGCAGGAGATGGCAGTTCAATTCTTGGGTCAGGAAGATCTGCAGGGGAGAAGATAGGTTACCCACTCCAGTATTCTTGGACTTCCCTTGTGGCTTAGCTGGTAAAGAGTCTGCCTGCAGTGCAGGAGACCCGGGTTCAATGCCTGGGTTAGAAAGATATCCTGGAGAGTGGAAAGGCTACCCACTCCAGTATTCTGACCTGGAGAATTCCATGGACTGTATAGTCCATGGGGTTGCAAAGAGTCTGAAACTACTGAGTGACTTTCACTTTCATAAATAATATACCAGAGAGGAAGCATCTGTGACTGATGGATATTGAAAATAAGAGAAGGAGGTGGAAAGGCAACAAGGAGACTCACATCTTGGAAGACCCTTTATTCAAGTGGTAATTTAAATGGTGTGAGAATTTAGGTTGCTGTTTTAATGAGACAGGAAGGGGATGAATGAAGCCAGCTGAGATAGCTGGCTTCTGAGTCTTCTGGGGTTTCCTAAGTGGCCAAATATAAGTTTGCTGACGTCTCCTAAAAGTCATCTTTTGATGCAAGAAATCTAGGAGAAGGAACAATTGCATCTCACTTGTCACCATGGAAACTTAGTGATAAATCACTGTAGCCACAGAGCCCTTAAGAAAAAGCAAGGTAATAGACTGCAGTATCAAGCATTGCAATATAAAATACCCAATTATGTGTGGATCTCTTTTAGTTCCTGCTAAGACAAGCAATATTGATGAATTTTCCAAGAAAAGATGGAAGTGAATGAGAATGAAGCATATTATAGTTGTGACATGGAAGAATAGAAGGTGTATACAGGATAAAGATCAGAGTAGATAGCATGTTAAAAATGGAAGAATGTTTAAGAGTAAGGATCAAGGGCTGTAGATCATTAAGTGGTGTTTGAATATACCATCTTGACTAGGCCAGAAAAATGGGGAGATTAAAGCACTGAAAACGCCACCAGTTCTACATAGACAGAAGCTGAGTCTCTGAAGAATGCGATGAAAATACAATATATCTATAGTGAGCACCAAGAGATTAGTCCTGTAGAAGTCAGCCTTAGAAAAAAATACTGTGGCTGTATTAAAATGCTTTTAAGATGTTTCCAATGTCTTATTATATATTGAAACTATTAAAATGATATGTATATAATTATAACAAAACTATTATCATTATATACACATGATATAATATGTATTGTAATTATGACTACATACTATATATACATATCATAATTTTATGTATAGTTATATATAGATGACAACAGTATACTCAAGAGGGCAGTGGTATATTGTTATCATGTTTTCTAAATGTCATTAGTCAAAGATATGCATTTTAGTGCACATTTGTCATTTATTGTTAGCCTTTATTAAGTAGTGAAACATACCAGAGATAGTCAGTCTTACACAATAGCAACATTTTTTTTAAAGGCCTGCATACTGCTAAATTCACTCACATTTGATTGTCTCTTTTATTTATTTATCATATGTATCTGAGTTCCCCTATTTAAATGTCTGGAGATGGTTGAAGAAGTAGGACAATGTCCCATGATCTGCTCAGTGCCTGACACATATTTATAATATTAACAATTTACTATAAAATTTGCTTTTGGGCTTCTTTGTTTATGAATCTCTTATAATGAATTAACTTTTTAAATTGAGTTGGAAATATTCCAGGCATAGATATGGAAAGAGTTGGAATAGCAGCAGAGCAATTAACTGCCAGCTATGTTTTAGTTTAATATGACTTCTAATTTTTTATATCTACATAGGATAATTAGCCCATTGTCATTTCATCATCTGATGATGATCATTTCCCTTGTTAAGTGTTCAGCAGGGACATTTTATTTCAGCAATGATTTCTGCTCTTAAAAATAAGAAAATTTCATTGTTATTGAAGTCATTTAGTAATCTGGAGCAAAGGTTTGGAAATATTTAAGAAATCTCAACATCTGTACTATTTTCATCAGCAACAAATATATATGGTATGTCTGCCTTCTAAGTAATTGATGTACAAAATAAAATTATTTCACAACTTTGCATTATTAAAAAGTAACTGGCACTCCAATGGATTTTAAAGTACCTAAATAATTTGATCAACTAGATAAAGGTTTGTGTCGAGAGACAAGCTGCATCTGCCTTATTTGAATTTCTAGTACTTTCACACCAAATTTATATCAGAAGATTATTTGTATAGCATGACAGTTATACTAATTATATTCTAAAAATTCTCCTCAGATGTTCACACTCACACTGATATAACTTTTGAACTTATCACCAAGAGTTTATGATAATATACTGAGTAGAGAAATTGGAGTCTGGAAGCTTTTATTCTCTGCCACTAACTCTGTGGCTTTAAAATTTGCTTTTATTTTCTGACTATGGCTTCTTAGATTTTGTGCAAGTTGTCTCCTATAGCTCCTTTCAGTTCTGAGGAAGGATGTTTATGCCTTCACTACTATCAAAGGGAGTGACCAGTTTATAGGACACCCCTATTTTTTATCCTTATTATAGAATCCAGATCAGCCTTCTGAAGCATGCCCTGTAAAGTCATGTTCTTGGCTGTCAGTCTAGCTTGTTTAGATGAGATTTATGAAAAACCTGGTTAATCATTCATATATGGGATTCCCTATCTACTTTAGATCTCAGGAATAGGTAATATAAGATCAAGGCAGTGTAGGAAGAACATTTTAGAAATATTAGGGAAAATGCCACATTCAAATTTCCTTTCCAAATGGGTTACGTGCCAGGTATAGTCATTTTTTGGTTCTTTTTCACAAGAAAAATGCTATCATGCCAAGTTCTAAAAATTCATCTTTTACTTTATCCTGAAAAGATTAAAGGCAAGGTAAATGATAAGATAATACAATAACTTAGGATCTTCTCTCATAACAAAATTACACTTTCCTTAAGAGAGAATTTCTTTATGAGAGAACTAGTGGCAAAAGAGTCTAAGGCATTTAGATGAAAGTTAGAAACACATTAGCTACCCCATTCCTTGATGACATTTGTGTATGTGTAAATAATTCAGGATTTTTGGTTCTGGTGGTTTTTTTAAAAAAACATGGTAGCGCATACAGAATTTCCATTTGTACTGAAAAATGTTTTTCCAAGAAAGTCTCTCAGATCCTTTATTCCTCTATTGGAACCGAATAATCAAAAATGTTAAAGCAAGTCTCTATAGATCAAATGTTCTGTGGAATTGTTGGGCAAATACCTTGATTTACTGGCTATACAATTTCCTTCATAACCTTGAATTAACAACATCCAGCCCTGCCCATAGCAGAGTGTGTAAAAGCCTGTTGAGGCCATGATAAACACACTTGNTCCAAGAAAGTCTCTCAGATCCTTTATTCCTCTATTGGAACCGAATAATCAAAAATGTTAAAGCAAGTCTCTATAGATCAAATGTTCTGTGGAATTGTTGGGCAAATACCTTGATTTACTGGCTATACAATTTCCTTCATAACCTTGAATTAACAACATCCAGCCCTGCCCATAGCAGAGTGTGTAAAAGCCTGTTGAGGCCATGATAAACACACTTGTTCTTAATTAGAATAAAAGCAAATGAGAATATTAAAGGAAGAATTAGCATGTTTCAATACCCTCAAATCATGAAATTAAAGATTTTACTGCTGTTTTTAAAATATCTAAATGTAATCTGTTTTAAATGCACTGTCTCTCTTTAGTATTTAATGCAAATATCCAATGTTATTTACCATTATTCAAAAATTGAGCCTCTATTTATTTATTTATTTTACTAGAATTTATTTTCCCTGAGAATAAAATGATGTGTGTCTGCAAATGGAAGGAGAGTGAAACAGATTCAGCATGGATGGATACAAAGAGAAAAAGGGTTTTCTTTTATTATTACTGTAAAGTAAAAGAGACATTGCTAGCTGTGTGCCTTGGACAATTAACTTGACTTTCCTGGGCTTTAATGTCAATTCCTGTAATAGGTGAACACTTATTACTTCCTCGGTTGTATGGAGGCAATGATATGGCTTTGCAGTAAAAGTACAGATCCTGGTGTCAGGTTATCTAGGTCCAAGTTTAATAGTAACTCTTTTACCTGCCAGATGATTTGGAGTAAGTTTTTTTATCCTTTCTCTGCTTCAGTGTACTCATCTAAAAAAGGGTCCAACAATAGTATCTACCTTATGTCATTCCCTTCTCCAGAGGATCTTCCTGACCCTGGGATTGAACCCAGGGCTCCTGCATTGCAGGCAGATTCTTTACTGTCTGAGCCACCAGAGAAGGCCACCTGTCTCATAGAATTGTTAACATTAACTGATGAGCTAATTCAACTACTTGGCATTATCTTCACCTAGCGCCAACAGCAAATAAAATATCAGTAGTTGGTTCAGTTCAGTTCAGTGCAGTCGCTCAGTTGTGTCCAACTCTTTGCGACCCATGGACCATAGCACCTCAAGCCTCTCTGTCCATTACCAACTCCCGGAGTCCACCCAAACTCATGTCCATTGAATCGGTGATGCCATCCAACTGTCTCATCCTCTGTCATCCCCTTCTCCTCCTGCCTTCAATCCTTCATCAGGGTCCTTTCAAATGAGTCAGCTCTTTGCATCAGGTGGCCAAAGTATTGGAGTTTCAGCTTCATCATCAGTCCTTCCAATGAACAATCAGCTGGTATTTTTTTATTATTGTTATAGTTATTAATATTACTATTAAGTTGTTTTTAAAATTAAAATGTCATATATGTGAATATAGTGCAAGGACAAAAAGAAAAACTGTTCTTGTCATGCTGTCTAAACAAAGGAATATTTAAATATGAGGGAGATGCTCCACTTAGTGGCTCTTTTTCATTCTATTGATAAGCATCTTATCTTATTCATAGCCAGAAGTTCACATTTTTAAAATAAAGTCCCAGAGCAGAACAAAATGCTCAATACATATTATATTTTTCAAAGTTCTTCCAGTGTTCTCAGAAGGGATATTTATATAGAAATGTAGGAGCCTTCATGATATCAAACATTTGGATGTTACCCGATGGTGAGAAATTGAGTGATTATATAGAGCAATATTTAAATACAGGCTGAATTATGCACAATCTTTATGTATAAATTATGCTTCATATGAATATTCCTTAAATTTTATTTCTGTTGCCTATTTCTGTTTTACCTGAACAAGAATATTATTGTGTGTGAGACAGGACAGTTGTAAATACAATTAGTGAGAGGGGGAATGAGGGTCTCTCATCATGCCAGATATCAGTTCTGTTTAGAGAATGAAAACCAAGCAAGAGGTGATGGTCAGCAGTTATACTGATTGCTTGTTAGGGACAAATTTCTGCATCCTACCTCATTGTCCAGATGAAACATATCCCGCATAGGAGTTGAGCCAAATAACAAGTCACAATATTTGGCTTAGGTCCTATATGGAAAATGGTGAAGCATAATTAAATTAACAGTTAGCAAATTATCTGAAATGGCAGGTAAATGAGGTAAGGCATAAGCAAACAACTGCATAAATAAATAGGCAGTTTTCAAAGAAGAATCTCCTTCAGCCGCTTCGATCCTTACCCACCTGATCATGTCCAATAATATCCCCACGTATCCTTTTAGTTCTAGGAGTCTGAATTTTCCAGGGACAGAACTGAAGAATTAGAAAGTCATTAGAATACATAATAAAAGATCATGAACCAAAGTTTAGACTCTTCAGTTAATAAATAGTCCTGTGTACCCATAGGGAGTAACAAAATGTCTTATATCCATTAAGTAAATGCATAATATGATTTAGAATTTCAACTGGAAAAATTGTTGTTTTACTTTAATATGTAGATTTTTATGCCTTTTTTTTTTTTTACTTTACTGCTGCATTTCTTTAAACAGTAGGCTATTTATCTTTTGCATTTTTTCAATTTGTCTCTAATGCCACTTTCTATTCATGACTTTAAAAATAAATTTGAAAAATCATTACATTATATACCATAGATGCTTCATGAAATGATTTTTTTTTCTAAACACTTTATTGGTTCTGCCTGGCTAACTTCTTTTTTCTTAATACTGCCTCACGTCATATGTCATATAAATTTTAGAATGAAGTTGCATGAATAGAATAAACTTGTGTTATTTTTCTGTCCCCAGAGCCACAGACCTGTACACTGAAAGATTTTCTCTGTGCCAACGGGGACTGTGTTTCTTCAAGGTTTTGGTGCGATGGAGATTTTGATTGTGCAGATGGCTCGGATGAGGTAGGCATCTTTGAGAAATCAAACAAAAAATAAAGTGGGTCCTTAAAATTGCATTCTTAATTATTATTCCATTCAAGGAGTGTGACAGGGACAGCTCTGAATGCACTTTGCTCCTGACACGCTAAGATATGTATCATATCTATGCACTGCGCTGCACACATCCAGCATGGGGAATAGCTCTTGTGCTTCTATTGACAGTTAATTTTATAGTCTGTTTTACCTCAAGTAGTGAATGGCTGGATTGGGAATAAGATGTTTGGAAACCCTATTCCCTACAGCTGATGCCTTTGCCATCTGTGAATTTGTTCGTAAATTTGCAGCAGTATTTATAGTCAGGACTAATATTTTTATGCATTTTAAACAGTTTCTTCTCCCCAGACTCTTTCTTCAGTAGATATAGTCTTACAGACTTAGATGTGGGTCATCAATTTTTATGAAACTGCAGATTTAGCTTTGTTTAGATGATGACTCACAATCCATTTATAATAAGTTCTATGTACGCACAGTTAAGTGAAGAAGTTTAGAATTTCTCTGGATGATTCTATAATCCCAGATTGTGCTAACATTTATAAACCTTCACACAGTTCATTATTTATGCACCTATGTATTAGAGTTTCAGATGCTAATTACTCCATGTTGCTTTAGAAATAATACATGACACACAGGAGTAGTCACTTTACATGGTTTTCTCAGTTAGTGATTTCTGATGTTGCTATCAGGAACGCAGCACTTGGACAATCAAGTCCAGCCACAGATGGGAAAATGAGGTCTCTGGTCCTCAATGCCCACTGTTTCTCTTGATGCACAACGACTGCCTAGCCTTCTACTACTGATTGGTGCAAATATGTCCTCAGCCTCACGAAGGGCCTCCCACTGACTCTGGACTTGGGAAGAATCTTCCCAGCTGCTCTGGAGATTTTTGCGTTTCAAGTCCAGCTTCCTTAGGTGTCCACTGATGACCTGCCTCTTCAGAAGACCCTGAAGGCCTCTCCTAGTTATAGAGCCCACACAAACTAGATATTCCCCAACCTTCAGGGAGTCTTATCAAGACTGGACAATTCTTCTCCATTCTCTCACTATTTTGGGAAAGTCCCCCTAATCACGTACAAGTCTAGATTTTGGAACCTAATGCACTTTATTTTTCACCTGAAGGTCTGAAACCTTAAAACTTGAGGCTGCAAAGTTCTCTTAGGAGAAGGTGAAAAATACTACTTCTGTTTATTGGACTAGTCACAAAACAAGTCAAACAACATTTTAAAAAATCCACAGAGAAGTTGAAGTCTTACAGTGCCCAGCTACATATTTACTTAGTATATTTATTCAAAAATTTTATTAAATGTTTCACACTCAGGAAAATATATTTCATATAAATTCATCCATACCATTAAAATGTTTTGTCTTTGTTTTCTTTAAAAAAAATATGTTCTATCAGCACCATGCAATTGTGAAACACAAAAGGGGGATATATTGCTGAAGGCTTATGATTTCATCTTGCATGTTTTTCAGTAGATGTCTAACATACATAAACAAAATTAAGCACTTCTTTTTTTCAAAATGTTATTCATGTGAAAGTAGACATCCTTATCCATGCTATTTCTCTCATGCTATAAATTCATGGATGTGGTTCTTTGTGTCTGAATATATCTCCACTATCCAGATATTTTTATGCTAATGTCCTAGGGAATCAAATTTACTCTCTTAAAGGTAGTCTTTCTCTACATTTACAGACTTTTGATACTATCTGTATGTAATTAAGTGGCTAACATTACAGGCAGTTGATTTCTGTTTCCTTTCTAAAATCTAGAATGATGAGTTGCATTGTCAACAAACAAAAAAGTGAGCTGAGCAGATGGCTAGAAAGCATAATTACATACATATTCTTATATTGGGAACAAAAGAGAAAATTGTAAGGATTACTTTTTGTATGAATGTTAACTGAATTGTTTGTTAATTTCCAGCCAAAACAATAAAGAAACCAAAAACTTGTATCAATTTAATTGTGTATCAGGTTAGTGGCAAACACAGAGAACTATTTAAAGTAAATTTAAAATATATTTGACCTCTGCATCCAGTATATCATATTGTAAGGATTAAAAGAAATGCAAAAGAATCTTAAATTATATTCATACATGTGTTTTTTAAATAACACTGATTTTGCTAATTTGAAATCCACATCTTAGAGAGTAAAATAGTTCCAGTGCAAAATTATTTTAATATTACTAACACTCAAAATTTTTAAGTAAAATAAAGGAGATATGAATGTAGAAAAAATTCAAGTAAATAAAAACCCTGTAATTAAACTCAAAAGTATCAGCTTGAGATCTTGATTTTTTTTCCTCTTTTAAAAAATATACGTTTTTAGCTCTGCCACTGAAAAATCCTAAAACCAATGACATCCCAGCTTTAAAGACTATCTCTAGCATTCATATCCTGACCTCTGACTACATTACCCAATTAACAGAATCAAAACTCCTTTGAGAAATGCTTAATTCTAGATCTGTGAAAGGAAATTGACAAAATGAGCCACTAACATCTTGTCAAGCCAGAAAACAATGCCACTGGGATAGTGTTCAAAATACATAGGAACAAAATTCCAGGGTTTTCTACATACAAAAGGGACAATTTGAGCCTCAAAAGGAAAAAAAAAATGACTGTAATCTATTGAAATATAATAATGTATACAAATATAAGAGTTGATAATAATATTTAAACAAAAAGCTCAATTGTTACTTTGGAGGTTTCTAAGTAACTTTATTAGCATTTACTCAGTCAAATTCAGAATGTGAGACAATCTATAGAACAAATTACCTGTTTTTCCTAAGTAGTAAATGGCATTCAAAAAAAGTAGGGGAATGGAAAAGAGTTATACGTTAAAAAAAACTCAAATAAAATTCAATGTATAGGTTCTTTTAGATTTTTCTTTTACCAAGCAGTATTTTTCTACATTTGAGAAAATTAGGAAATTTTTAAAGTGGATGGATTGGGAATAACTTAAATTTTTTTCTATTAATACCATGATAGTATTAATTTTCTAAAGCTATTGTCATTATGTTAAAGTTCAAAATATAAATAAACTGGGAGAGAGGTTTATGAAACATGAATAGCTAAGTGTGGATAATTGTTAAATGTGCATGAAGAGCACATGGGTTTTATTATTCTATCCTCTCTGTTTTTCTGTGTGTTTTAAGATGTCTAAGATAATGATTAAAAACCCCACAAATATAGACACAGACACATGTATCAACTATATGCAATAGATTATAAATCAAAATCTTCTGATGGTAGAAAAAGTATCTAGAAGTATTACCTTCTGTGTTATTGTCAATACAAATAGAACAGTGTCACTGATTATTGAGCTCTTTTACTTGAATTAGCCCTATTGCTGAGAAAAACATTAATTAATTCTACAAAATATACTGAGCAGTTATCATAATCATTGCATGATATTAGATTCTTGATTCATAGACACTGTTTCTATCCTTTGTATACATACCTGTGCATACCTGCTGTTGCTTTATCATGTCTGGCTCTTTGTGACTCTATGGACTGTAGACCGCCAGGCTCCTCTGTCCATGGAATTCTCTAGGCAAGAATACTGCAGTGGGTTGCCATAGATTACATAAAATTTTAATATATATTCCTCATTTTCTACATTTGCTACTTCATTCATTCAATCATTTATTCAGCAAATTTTAATGGAATGCTTACTTATTAAATGTGTCCCGGGCACAGTAATGGACATGGAAAAGGGAAGTGGTGAACAAAATCTGAGATTACTTCCTCGTGACCAGTACATGGGCTATTTTTCCAGTGTCATTCACCATTATGTAGCTCATCCCTTGGATACATCACATTTCTATTTATCCTTATGCATGAAAAATCTTTTCTTAGTTTCATTTCTGTTTAAAATTCCTTTGTGAAGTCTTTCTTAAAACCTTTAAGGACTCATGTCTCTAAACCATATTCATTTATTTTGACAGTATATTTTATTGAAATTGTTGGTTTAAATGCTAGTCTTCTATTAATCCAGGAGTTTACCAAATATGGGGAGGAATCATCCTTTTCTTTATGTTATTATTTAAGAAACTCTTATAGGACACACAGGTTCAATCCCTGGGTCGGAAGACCACCTAGAAAAGGAAATGGCAACCCACTCCAGAATTCTTGCCTGGAGAATCCCATGGACAGGGGAGCCTGACAGGCTACAGTCCATGCAGTCACAAAGAGTCGGACATCACTGAGTGAGTAACACTTAGCCAGTTTTACCAACATTAATATTTAAGAAACTCTAGTAAATGGTAAATCTTCAATACTTGGGAAAAGAAGGGAGGAAGGAAAGAAGAAAGTCAGTTATATAGCAAGCAGTCTAATTAAACTGTCATCAGCAAAGAGGAAACTATAGGGATTTGGAAAATAAGCTCTTCTTTCTTACATGTGATGAAACTGAGAAAAAGCAGGGAGTAACAGTTCATATGCTTCATTCACTGGAAGTTTCACAAGCTGGAAGAGTGCTGCACCTTTTGTGAAAAGATCAGACAAGTAAATCTTGGCAACAATAGAAATTGCTAAACAACAGAAAAATATTATCTCAGCAAGATATTTCACTGGAGCATCCCATTTCAAAAAGAGTGGTCATACCCAAGGAAAGTGAATTTCTAATTTCCCTTTCATTGATCTCATATAAAGAACTGAAAGGCACCCAAAGGTATCACTACTATTTTGTTTGATTTCCAAATAAAATCTGGATGCTAGCTAGCCAAAAATGACAATTCTGACAGTTCATTTCACAGTTCTCTAAGAACAAATATCAGAAGAATGGAAAAGGAATATGAACAGCAAACAAAGTATGAAAGAACAAGGGTGGAGGAGAAAAGTGGGGATGGGGAAAGAAATAACACAAGGGGAAGTTTAAGTTTGATTGATGCAAGACAGAATTACCCTAGGATTTTTTCCTGTTCCACATTAATCCCCCCCCCCCCATTCCCGAGGAACTGGCTATACTGATTAGAAATATTTTTTTAGCCCTTTTGTTTTCCTCAAATCATCATTGTCACTTCAGTTCAGTTGCTCAGTCATGTCCATCTTTTGTGACCCCATGGACCACAGCATGCCAGGCTTCCCTGTCCATCACCAGCTCCCAGAGCTTGCTCAAACTCAAGTCCATTGATTTGGTGATGCCATCCAACCATCTCATCCTTTGTCATCCCCTTCTCCTCCCTCCTTCAATCTTTCCCAGCATCAGGGTCTTTTCCAACAAGTCAGTTCTTCGCATCAAAGTATTGGAGCCTCAGTATGAGTGCTTCCAATGAATAGTCAACATTGATTTCCTTTAGGATTGACTGGTTGGATCTCCTTGGAGACCAAGGGACTCTCAAGAGTCTTCTCCAGCATCATAGTTCAAAAGCATCAGTTCTTGGCTCTCAGCTTTATTTATGGTCTAACTCTCACATCCATACATGACTACTGGAAAAACCATAGCTTTGACTAGACAGATTTTGTTGGCAAAATAATGTCTCTGCTTTTTAATATGCTATCTAAGTTGGTCATAGCTTTTCTTCAAGGAGCAAGTATCTTTTAATTTCATTGCTACAGTAACCATCTGCAGTGATTTTGGACCCCAAGAAAATAAAGTCTGTCATTGTTTCCATTGTTTCCCCATCTGTTTTCGTGAAGTGGTGGGACTGGATGCCATGATGCCATTCATTTTATGAATGTTGAGTTTTAAACCAGCTTTTTCAGCCTTCTCTTAAATCTTCATCAAGAGGCTCTCTAGTTCCTCTTTGCTTTCTGCCATAGGGTGGTGTCATCTGCATATCTGAGGTTATTGACATTTCTCATTGTCACTTACAACTATTAAAATTACATTAGCCCATAACTGTCTGTTTGGAGTATGATCCACTCAGAGCAACTTAATTACTTGATGAAGCCATGGGATTTATGTTCTTTTTATATTTCTCTGTTTTATTATGACTAACAGAGACAAACGAAACTAGAAAATGATTATAATGTTTTATAGTGATGAGTTTAAGCATGACCATCTGAGATTCTTGTATGTGTTTTTTGGGGTTGAAGACATTTATCTAAAATTTTAATTTTAATTATGTTTGTGTTGTTTTTGTCAGAGAAATTGTGAAACAAGTTGCTCCAAAGATCAGTTCCAGTGTTCCAGTGGTCAGTGTATATCAGCAAAATGGAAATGCGATGGCCATGAAGACTGTAAATATGGAGAAGATGAGAAACACTGTGAGCCAGGTAAAAGGCTTGAGTCAGTATTTCATTTAAGTACTATTTTAACTCAGAATTTAAATTTCAGCAAAGATATGTATAAAACAGTGACAAATAATGCAAATTTTACTGTTTTTAAGAAATAATCTGGACTATCTGTAGATAAATTCATTGATGTGCCCTTTGTATGTTTTGAAAGTGTTTTGGCAGGCAAGATTGATATTATTTCAAGATACAAGCATTACTCCCCTAAATTTGATTTTCTGATCTCTATATTTTTCTATATCATTTGGAGTTGTTTTTCCAAGATAGTGGAAAGAAAAAGGTTGAAACTATAAGTGTGATCAGATAGCTTTTATACTTGGGAATTTTAATAACATTATTCTACAGGAAAAAATACTGGGGAAGATCACTTTCTAATCTATATATATATATATATGGTTACAAGTAGTTTCATAGTGTAACAATTATTTTGAGGGACTGAGTCAGAACTGCAGATACCTCACACACACTTTGCTAATAGCCCAGGACCAAGCCCACAGTCCACATTGCTAACTGATCACATCTTTGTTCTTATTGAATTCAGACATAGTCCCAGACTCATTAATACAGATCCCTAGGCAACCACTGCCAATTAAAAGGAATTAAAACCTAAGGGAAAAGCTTTTTAGCATCCCTGGACTCAGCAATTTAGACCACAAAGCCATTACGTAAGTACATTTGGCTACCTAGTGATCTAATATAAGGCCAAAAACCCCAGAATTTGAATGCAGGCTTAACAAACTGAAGCCCCTGCAGAGAAAGGTGTCATCACTCCGTGTTAATTAATTACATCGGGTATTGGCTATAACTTATTTATCTACTATTTAAAATGTATCCATATCATAAGATAATTACTTCAAATTCTACAGACTCTGCTAATTATACATATGTTCATAATTTAAACCCTAAGTAAAAAAAAAAAGACTTCTGAAAACTTATATAAATATGATATTTTTGTCAAAATAGCCAAATAGATACTATGGGATCTATGAGACCATGTCAAGATTTTCACTTTTAGCTTTATACAATACATATATTAATTAACATCCTCAAAGTTTACTAAATCCTATTACAATTTTGAAAATAATTTGAGGCTTTTGCATTTTAAATAAATTTAAAATTATAAGAGAATATATTTAACTCTTCAAAAATCAAAGTAATAGAGGATATAGATAGGTTTTTTTCCCTTCCTTTTTTTCTTTAGTGAGTTGAATATGTATGAACAGACCATTACATCATGAGGTATATTTAATATAATGCAATACAATAATATTGTAAAGCTCATTTTAAGTCAGTGTTTAATATCAGATGTTGAATACAATTCAATAGAAACTAGTTTCATTACTATCTGTAATTTTCATATTCTTATCTATGCTTTTATCTATCAACATTCATTCTGTTCACTAAATCTAAATCTCAACTTTATACTCAGCTTCTCCTACTTGCTCATCAAGTGAATATATATGTGCCGGTGGAGGATGCATTTCAGCATCTTTGAAATGTAATGGAGAATATGACTGTGCTGACGGTTCAGATGAGGTAAGATCTATCTCTTGATTAAAATCTCTGAATTATGTGAATTAGGTTTGAGAAAGAAAATGTAATAAGCAATAGAGAGACAGAATCTTGATTCTTAGCATTGTCTAAAATGTCAAGACAAGAACATTGAAGACAGTAATTTCAGCACATGCATGAATCTTCCTGCTGCCCATAGACTAAACTGTATTGTCATTTGCAGAGGCGATATTCATTAATTAAAAATAAAATGAAGCCCACACAGCATTATAAATCTCCAGTATTGTCAGTTGAATGTTTACTTTGCTTGTGACTATATCATTATCAGTAGTTAAAACTGCAGCACCCATTTGTATTTGAACAGATGGACTGTGTGACTGAGTGTAAGGAAGATCAGTTTCGATGCAGAAATAAAGCCCACTGTATTCCAATTAGATGGCTTTGTGATGGGATTCACGACTGTGTAGATGGCAGTGATGAAGAGAACTGTGACAGAGGTAAGGTACTATTGCATGTGTGTCTACAGACAAGACAATGGCAAGAATGGCAGTCAAGATGCTGTGCAGAATATTTACATCATGTGCTAAAGGCAGAGGATAAGATAATTAAAATGATTCTCCTTTCCTAATGGAGGTGATTGTTTAGCCTCTAAGTCGTGTCTGACTCTTGCGACCCTATTCACTGTAGCCCACCAAGCTCCTCAGGCCATGGGATTTCCCAGGCAAGAATAGTGGCATGGGTAACCCTTTCCTTCTCCAGGGGATCTTCCTGACCCAAGGATCAAACCCCTGCCTCCTGCATTGCAGGCGAATTCTTTATTGACTGACCCACCAGGAAAGCCTCTCAACACATAATACAGTGTTCTAAATAAGCAAAATCTGGGTCATTTTCAGACAAGAATATAAATCCATTTTCATATAACAAATGTTCAGATGAGGTAAGATCTATCTCTTGATTAAAATCTCTGAATTATGTGAATTAGGTTTGAGAAAGAAAATGTAATAAGCAATAGAGAGACAGAATCTTGATTCTTAGCATTGTCTAAAATGTCAAGACAAGAACATTGAAGACAGTAATTTCAGCACATGCATGAATCTTCCTGCTGCCCATAGACTAAACTGTATTGTCATTTGCAGAGGCGATATTCATTAATTAAAAATAAAATGAAGCCCACACAGCATTATAAATCTCCAGTATTGTCAGTTGAATGTTTACTTTGCTTGTGACTATATCATTATCAGTAGTTAAAACTGCAGCACCCATTTGTATTTGAACAGATGGACTGTGTGACTGAGTGTAAGGAAGATCAGTTTCGATGCAGAAATAAAGCCCACTGTATTCCAATTAGATGGCTTTGTGATGGGATTCACGACTGTGTAGATGGCAGTGATGAAGAGAACTGTGACAGAGGTAAGGTACTATTGCATGTGTGTCTACAGACAAGACAATGGCAAGAATGGCAGTCAAGATGCTGTGCAGAATATTTACATCATGTGCTAAAGGCAGAGGATAAGATAATTAAAATGATTCTCCTTTCCTAATGGAGGTGATTGTTTAGCCTCTAAGTCGTGTCTGACTCTTGCGACCCTATTCACTGTAGCCCACCAAGCTCCTCAGGCCATGGGATTTCCCAGGCAAGAATAGTGGCATGGGTAACCCTTTCCTTCTCCAGGGGATCTTCCTGACCCAAGGATCAAACCCCTGCCTCCTGCATTGCAGGCGAATTCTTTATTGACTGACCCACCAGGAAAGCCTCTCAACACATAATACAGTGTTCTAAATAAGCAAAATCTGGGTCATTTTCAGACAAGAATATAAATCCATTTTCATATAACAAACATAACTAAAATGCAAGTATTTTTTGAGTATCTATCATGAGTATGACATTGGACTAGATGTTGGATCAGGGATGGAAATGTGAGAAGAGGTCAGGGAACATAGCCTCTATAAGCCATTCCTACCAAAGTATTTTCAGGGCACGTTTCTCTCCCACTTTGCTTGCCTTGTTTCTGAAAGAATAAAAACAACATATGGTATATTATATCATGCATACTAATATACTAGATCATATATAGGTTGTAGGTTGGACCCCAAATTTGTTTCTTGCCATATGGTTGAGAAAACTACCTACATTATTTGAAGTCTGGAAGAAACTTTCAATTTTATAGCATCATTTTTTTCTAGTTATGTGAAAATATTTCCTGACATATAACTTTTTAGTTTCAAATCACCACTTTAAAAACAGCACTTATTGCTATTTCACGGTTAATAAGAGGAAAGCAAAGAAATTGAAGGGTGAATGTTAAAATGGCCATGAATTATAGCATTCTTATTATTTTCATAATGTTAGATATATTAATTAGCACAATCTATTTTTATTTATAAGATCCTCTAAACTTTACATATTAGAATATTTGAAACATCATCAACAGAGATGATGTTAGTATTGATATATGTTGCAAAGCATTTGAACAGGCACTCTGTTTATAAAGTTTAAATGGATCTAAAATATTTACTTCTGTAAATATCTAGTCACTCAAAGAAAAATATCTTCTACCTTCTTTAGTATTAGATCAAACCTTTATGACTTACTATATTTCTATTCCAAATCTGATAAAGTATTGTATTATATCAGCAGAAGAAACCCTAGTTCTTATTTGGAATCTGCAGTGCATTATAGAAAATCATAAAAGATTAAACTTCCATAATAGCTGTTTCTACTTTTGCTTAAGTTCTCACACTCGCTGTCTGTAATTGGTTGCTCTGGAGAAAGCAAACTTTGTGAACATTCTGGGACCAAAAACTCATCTTATAGTCAAAGACTTTAGGACCAATTTAACTTTCTTATCATTTAGTATTTTCTCATTCCCTCAGCTTCAGTCACTCACAAGTCTTGTTCTTTGCCTCATTTTTCCTATCTAGGCTTATTGGTGACCCAGTTCCTACTCACTGCTGCCATGTTCATCTTATATAAGTGTAACTCTGGTTATGTCAATCTTCATTCAAAACTCTTTCTTGGTTAGATACAAATATCATAACCTGGCAGTCAGGGTTATAAGAGAATGATCCCATTTCACCTTCTGTATCATTTGACTAAATTTCCCTGTTGTAATATGTTTCTGTGCAAACAAAATGTGGAAATACATTTCAGGCAGTAGGATCATTATGTTCAAAGTCACAGAGGTGAGGGAAACTTGATCCATTTAGGAGTCACAAGTAATTGAAAAGTCATGCTATAGAACTTAGTTTTAATATAACACATATTGAGGAGTTTTACAAGGCTTTTGAGGAGTTTTCTAATATTAAAAAAGGAAGGGGTGATAAGATTTGAACTATGTAATAGCACAGAGAATTGACTGAGATGATGGGGAACAAGAAATCTTGTTTCTTATTTTATCTCCATGGATGTTTCTGCATTCAGGTTTTAATACTTATCAAGCCCAGTCGCAGTTCTCCAAGAACTGTAGAAATACCTGGAGAGTGAATCTGTACCTGGAAGGGTGGGGAGTGGGGGACAATCCTGTTAGAATTTGGTTACTCTTTAAATATTGGATTTCATACAAATGTGTTTAAACAAAGAATTGTAGGTTAAAAAAATCATCAAACATTAAAGTAAAACATTGAACATTATAGCTTTTGAAATCTGGGATAACTTTCAAATTTAAAATGACTCAATTAAATGCTTAAACTTACTGACTAAAAAATAGAGTTGAGAGCTTTGAATTAAACCATTTAGAAATATGTCAAATTTTCTCTCCCCTCTCTGTGTCTGCATCTAACATTTCCTGGATTCCTTGCTCCCAGGTAATTAAATTTCAGTGAAATATCTTGGTGGTTGATCCTATATGGATATGACCAAGTTCAAATTTCTAGCACTTGATTGCTTCCAGGAAGTGGTTTAAGTATTGGATAAAAGCACTTCAAGACATTGAAGAAATAAAATGCCAGAATATACATCTCTTCTGTTACATGTTACTTCCATTCATCTCAAATATGGACACATGAGCTAACAGGGGCTAAGTGTTGGAGGGTTGAAGGTAAGAGAGTTACAGTGTAAACATGGAGCATTTTCCTTGTGAATCAATTCTACTGATTTACTTTAAAAGGAAAGAAACCCCAAATACTATGGAATTAAAAGCAGCATTCACATTTTTAAAGGTAGATTAAGAGAATGATCCCATTTCACCTTCTGTATCATTTGACTAAATTTCCCTGTTGTAATATGTTTCTGTGCAAACAAAATGTGGAAATACATTTCAGGCAGTAGGATCATTATGTTCAAAGTCACAGAGGTGAGGGAAACTTGATCCATTTAGGAGTCACAAGTAATTGAAAAGTCATGCTATAGAACTTAGTTTTAATATAACACATATTGAGGAGTTTTACAAGGCTTTTGAGGAGTTTTCTAATATTAAAAAAGGAAGGGGTGATAAGATTTGAACTATGTAATAGCACAGAGAATTGACTGAGATGATGGGGAACAAGAAATCTTGTTTCTTATTTTATCTCCATGGATGTTTCTGCATTCAGGTTTTAATACTTATCAAGCCCAGTCGCAGTTCTCCAAGAACTGTAGAAATACCTGGAGAGTGAATCTGTACCTGGAAGGGTGGGGAGTGGGGGACAATCCTGTTAGAATTTGGTTACTCTTTAAATATTGGATTTCATACAAATGTGTTTAAACAAAGAATTGTAGGTTAAAAAATCATCAAACATTAAAGTAAAACATTGAACATTATAGCTTTTGAAATCTGGGATAACTTTCAAATTTAAAATGACTCAATTAAATGCTTAAACTTACTGACTAAAAAATAGAGTTGAGAGCTTTGAATTAAACCATTTAGAAATATGTCAAATTTTCTCTCCCCTCTCTGTGTCTGCATCTAACATTTCCTGGATTCCTTGCTCCCAGGTAATTAAATTTCAGTGAAATATCTTGGTGGTTGATCCTATATGGATATGACCAAGTTCAAATTTCTAGCACTTGATTGCTTCCAGGAAGTGGTTTAAGTATTGGATAAAAGCACTTCAAGACATTGAAGAAATAAAATGCCAGAATATACATCTCTTCTGTTACATGTTACTTCCATTCATCTCAAATATGGACACATGAGCTAACAGGGGCTAAGTGTTGGAGGGTTGAAGGTAAGAGAGTTACAGTGTAAACATGGAGCATTTTCCTTGTGAATCAATTCTACTGATTTACTTTAAAAGGAAAGAAACCCCAAATACTATGGAATTAAAAGCAGCATTCACATTTTTAAAGGTAGATCATGTTGCCTCAAGGAAATTTGGTGTTTGTTTTGGCCTGAGCGTTCAAACTTTACTCTTTATACCAATTTTGATGGAAAGGATAGTCTTTTTAGCAATTATTAGCTTCTAATCATAGAAGTTATCAAATTTTATCATACTTTTAAGCTTATCTCAACCCAAATTAAGATGCGAACTCTTCATTATTATTTTCTGTGATGATATATTTGTTCAGATTTCTATGAAAATGCCAAGAGCTCAATTATATTTAGACATAGATTGTTAATTACAATGCTTGTTTCTATTTTTCTAATAACCTCCCATTGAGCTGATCAAGAACATGACTAGGAAACTGGAATTTTAATCCAGTTAATCTCTTTAAATTATCCCTGTTTTAAATTGTTTATGTGTGCTTCCTGCCATTTCACAATACGCTTTTTAAGTTAGGATATCTTGGAACCCCTTGATGCATTTTTTTGAAATGCAAATTTTTCCTAGTACAATGGGAAGCCTTTAGCAAATTAACATAAAACCTTTGCCTTTGTGTTATAATTATGATTTCATATGTATTTCTCTTCTTCTTAATAAAAATAGTGGCATGTCTGACACTCTTATGGGGACAACTATAATGTTATCTAATTCAATACCTTTGGGAACTCATATTTTTCCTTTTAACAAAACTGGTGTGCTACCAATCTCTCTTTTTTTAATTTTTTTGAATAATCAAAGGATGCTCACAAATTCTGTTTGAATTTCATTCATTTTAGAATGTAAAATGTGATACGATTTAGTCATTAGAATCTTTATTCTGAAAGAATGCAACTCTATTTCATATACTGTGGATTTTGATACTGAATTAAGCCAACACTTACCTCATACCCCTATTCATATCTTTAATACTAAAGACTGTTCTTACTATCTTTTTTTTGTCTGTTTTTAGATACTTATTAAATGGTAATATGTTTTCTTGTGTTGATTTTGATGATTGAGATTATTTTAAGGTTTAGGGCATTTTAGAGCTGAACATTTGGAGTAGGAAATGGCAACCCACTTCAGTGGTCTTATCAGGAAAATCCCATGAACAGAGGAACCTGGAAAGCTGCAGTCCATAGGGTCTCAAAAAGTCAGACATGTCTGAATGACTGAGCAGGTATAGTTGAACATTGCAAGTGTTTGAAAGAAAGAGGCATCCCAATGCCAGATATTGGACTATCAGAAGTCTCACATGGTGACATTCGTCATGCTGGACTCACTAAGGACTTGAATTTATCTGTATCTTAGAGTTTGTTAGTGCTCAAGGATGTCACTGTGAGCTGTACCAGTTCTGTCAAGCATTTTGTAGGAAAACTTAGAACGGTTATGATTGATAGCATTATAAATTCTTGGTCTCAGCTTGAACTATCACTCAAGATTCTAAGCAATCTACCTATATATTTTTAATCATCTCTCTCTACCATTAACCCTACCAGGTTTTTAAAAAGTTGATTTTCTTTCTCACATTCTACTTCACAGCAGCAGTAAAAATCATGAGCTTATTTTAACATCTGGACACAAAATTAATTAAGCTACCTATTTATATGCCTAGCCTTTCTTTTCTCTTAAAATAGGTTTGTCTCATCTCCAGTCTAAGGATAATCCTTTTATTTGTTTAAGATCTCAAATCCTTCACACTTTCGTGATTCTCAGAGAACTCATATGAATTACCTTTTCTTTCTGCTGTATCCTCTACCTTACTTTATTTGCTGAATTTTTCTCAGAAGCATTTATATACCCGTTCAGATATCTGTTTTATTCCATGCAAGCAATCAAGCTCTCTGACTTATCCAACTTCCTCTTTTCTTCCTTCCCTTTAAGGCCAAACTTCGGAACTACTACTTCTGTGTATATGATAACCAACTGCAAACATTTCTCTAAACCCACCACCATTTCACTAAATCTACTGTCTTAGCATTGTTTATATGTGCTAACTATTACCTTCTTGTTTGAACAATTTTCAGATATTTCTCCAACCACTATGGCTACTTCTCAGTCTCTTTTGTAGGTTTTGCTTTATTCATTCAATCTTTCAATGCTAATTTCCTCTGGGTTATCTTCTAAATTTCAGGTAACAGCTATATTCTGATCATTCTCAACTATGCATTTACAGTTCAGAAACCTTTCCTGTATTTTAGACACATTTATCCACTAGCCTGTTAAATATCACCACATGGTTGTCTTACCAGTAACTTAAATGGATTATGTCATTATTTCCACCAATACTGATCCAAATGCTATGCTCTGTTATTTATTGAACGCCAGCATTCACCAAATGGTCCAAATAAACCAAAAATTGAGTCCTGTGTTTGATTACTCATCTCCCTTTACCCCTCATCAAGTTTGTCATCAGGTCCTGAGGATTCTACCTCCTGAAGAGTTCTCCAATATATCAACAACTACTCTAAATCAAGTTACCATCAGTTCTTTTCTGATTGCAAATATTCTTCAAACTGGTCTTTTTTCTTGTCTTAGCTTTACCTTCCCTGTTTTCATGTTTAAGCTTTCCACACTGAGCTAAGGTTGTCACTCTAAAACCCAAATCTGATTCTGTCCTCATTTCCTAAAGTAAATCTTTGCTACTGAAAGTGAATTACTAGAGATTTGTGTGCAAGTCAAAGCTCAAAAGAATAAGAACTTATTGACCCTAACAAGCTTAGGGTTATTATTCTCTCGAAAGTACATCCACAAGATGAATAATACTTCTTTCTTGGAATTTTCTAGGCTTGCAAGGATGAGCAGTATCAGTCTGCAGCTCTATGTTTTAATAAACATATCCATTTTAAACATGTCAACATCTTCAACCATCAAATCTTGCCAATATGGAAACAGTATTTCTTATGTTATATGTGAAATTTAAGGTGGTAGTATAAGTCTCTGAAGGCAATCATTTATCTTCATTTTACATTCCCATCAAATTTCTTTGTGTTGTTTCCCCAGGTACTCTTTGAAAATATGATCTTATAAATCTTAATCATACCTCTTTTGTAACATATGAAGATATTAAGCTCCATAGAAATTAATACACTTTTCCAAAGCAAAACAAAGCAAGTTCTTAACTCCCTAACCATTGCTGTTTCTGATATATATTGCTGTGTATCTAGACATATATAACTAAAGTTTATTTGTACTCTGTGTCCTTTACTTGTGGTAGGTGTATTTAACTTAAAGTTAGAATGTCCATATATTCTTGCTACTTTCTATTAAATTTTAAAAAGAGAAAGAATGAAAACTTTTAAAAAATGGTCACAAAGGAGTTCCCTGGAGGCCCAGTAACTAAGACTCTGAGCTTCCAACGCAGAGGGTATGGGTTAAATCTCTGGTCTGGTCAAGGAAATAAGATCCCACATGCCATGTGGTACAGCCAAAAAATTAAAAATTAAATTGAAAGTAAAGATATATTCTTTAAAAATAAATTAAAAATGCTTGTAAGAGTATTCTACAGTACAATGTTTATAAGAATAACTATTTCCCTGGGGGCTCAGATGTTAAATAACCCGCCTGCAATGCAGGAGACCTGGGGTCAGTCCTTGGGTTGGGAAGATCCCCTAGAGGAGGTCCTGGCAACCCACTCCAGTATCCTTGCCTGGAGAATCCTCATGAACAGAGGAGCGTGGTGGGCCACAGTCCCTAGGTCGCAGAGTCAGACACAACTGAGTGACTAAGCACACAGCACAGTATTTCATCACATCACCAACTTCTGCATGCATGCATTAGAAATTGCTTCGGTCATGCCTGACTCCTTGTGCCCCTATGGACTGTAGCCCACCAGGCTCCTCTGTCTCTGGGATTCTCAGGCAAGAATACTGAAGTGGATCCCCCTGCCCTCCTCCAGAAGAGCTTCCTGACCCAGGGATCAAACCCGCCAACTTCTAATCATTATGAAATTAGTTGCTTCTCTCTGACTATAAAAACGTTTTACTGGTTTTTCTGTCTTAAATGATTCAGTCTGTCAGTTTTCAGATGCAAATGAATTATTAAATCGCTTTTAAAGTAACTTTTCTTCCCAGAAGAGCATAATTTTTGGTAATGAAAATTAGCACTAGAAACCTAAGTTTCTTTACACTCAATAATGTAGAAATGATGTGAAATAGAAGGAAATATATATTTAAGAAAACTTTATTCTAGCAACTTCTCTGGTGGTCCAGTGACTAAGACTCAATGCTCCGATTGCAGGGGCCCCAGGTTCAATCCCTGGTCAAGGAACTAGATTCCACATACTGCAACTAAGGTCCAGCACAGCCAAATAAAAAACAAGTAATTATTTTTTAAAGAAAACTTCATTCTATCAGCTTATTCTCAATATTCTGTAAAGAAAATATGATACATGTGAGGGTGATATCAGATTGCTTTGAAAAGTTGACAGTGAATACTGTTTTAAAAAAAGCTTGGACGTATAATATTTTTCAGGAAAAAAATAAGGAAATGAGACACTTTTACTGTGCTAAGAATTAGAGAAATATGTGTTTTTCTGATTGGAATTAATTATGTTGTATATCTGTCTTTTGTTTTAAAATGAAGGAGGAAATATATGTAGAGCAGATGAGTTCCTTTGCAACAATTCACTTTGCAAACTGCATTTCTGGGTGTGTGATGGAGAAGACGACTGTGGAGACAACTCTGATGAAGCTCCTGACATGTGTGGTATGGCATTTCCCACGGCTCTAGATTCTACTCTCCTCCCCTGATTCAATGATGTGGTGAGGTGAACCACAAATTCTGCCATCCCGGGGTTAGGTGGATAACATGTAACCACAGATACAGCTTTTGCTCAAGTCATAATAACCCTGCTCAGAGTTTACGACTTTGAGAGCCCTCTTAAATCTGAACTTGCACATGTCAACATTACTCAAAAGATAGATTACGGTCTGTCTAGGAGGATTTAGAGTAGTTCACCTTTTGAATTGAGTAAGGTTCATATAAAGACTTAAGCTTTATACCCAATTGATGTTTTAGGTTAACACAATTTTTTTGACAAATAAGTATGGAAAAAAATGTGCATAATAAAATCACACACTTTCACAAATCACGCACTACTGAGACTGGTTATTCAGAGAAGGGAGATAAATATGCATAGAGATATACAGATATTATCTATCAATTTATTTGTATCTCTCTCTATGGCAACCCAATCCAGTATTCTTTTTTTTTTTTTTTAATTAGTTGGAGGCTAACTACTTTACAATATTGTAGTAGTCTTTGTCATACATTGACATGAATCAGCCATGCCAATCCAGTATTCTTGCCTGGAGAACCCCATGGACAGAGGAGCATGGCAAACTACAGTCCATAGGGTTACAAAGAGTCAGACATGACTGAAGAGACAGCACGCACGCGCATACACACACACACACACACACACATCTATCTTCCTATCCATCTATCTATCTATCTATCCATCTGGGGGCTTCCCCGGTGGCTCAGATGGTAAAGAATCTGCCTGCAATATGGGAGACCAGGGTTCGATCCCTGGGTCAGGAAGATCCCTTGAAGAAGCAAATGGCTACCCATTCCAATATTCCTCTGTAGGGAATTCCATGGATGCAGGAGTCTGGCAGGCTACAGTTCTTAGGGTCACAAAGAGTCAGACATGACTGAGCAACTAACACTTTCACACCTATCTATTTAACTACCGATCATCTATCTGTCTTACAAGAGTTAGGCAGATAACTACATTTAGGAGTCATTTAACATTTTAGTCTGAAAAATCTTAAAATTTATTTCTAATTCAAATTCAAGTTACTTCTGACTGACATTTGTCACAAGTATATTGTGCAACCAACAACTCTAAATGCACATCTTTAGATCACCAAATTAAACAGTTTCCTTTATTTGGTAAATATTGTCATTCTTAATGTCATTCTTTGTTTCTAATCAACATAAAAAGGAAATTTAACTTTTAGTTTAAAGAAAAATGCTACTGCTTTGGATATAAATATAAATATTCACATCAGGTGAATTAAAGAAAACATAGCATAAATATATGTACTTACATGTACATATATGTACTTATATTCTGTGTTCTATTTGGTAAATCAAGTTATACTAATTTTTTATAGATGATATTGACTCATTTGAATAAAAAGCTCCAAAGCAAGGAGGCGGCTTTATTTTAAGCATGTTTTAAAACTTGAAAAAGGCAGTGTTTGGAGAATTGTTCTCTATAGGTACCCCTGATAAGTAACGTAACTAAATTTCAATTTCAGTTCTTCTACATAGCATTACAGAGTGAATTCTAGAGAATCACCAGCAATAGTATTATTTCTGAATCATAATACTTGAAAAAAATATTTCAAGTGTTTTACTTGAAATTTTTTCAAATTCAAAAATATTTCAGAGTTTACCAACACAAGCCAGAAACTATTATTTTTAATAAAATATGTTTTTTTCCTCTATTCTGTATTCCATTTCAGTACAAAAACTAGTGAGTGTATAGGATTTGTTTGGAAACTAATTAACCATGTAGGGCTCCAGATCACACCCCACAGATCCATTTCCAGGGCCAGGAAGTGATTCTAAAGGACATATTGCACAGTTGTTGGAAAATTTGTAAAATACATCCAGCTTAATTCTGTGAATGTTTTTGCATTCCCCTCAGTCATAAGTATCAACATTGAGTCAAGTTTTGATGTGATGGAGACTGTGCCAAAAACATAGGACATGGTTTCTTTGACAAGGAGATCATATTCTGGTTGAAAAATAATAATTTCCAGGTATTATATTTCTAGCAATAGTAGAATTAAATAAAGACAAGGTGTAGAGGGATAAAATGAACTCTGCCTGAAAGAAAATTAAAAGAGGTAGACTAAAATACACCATAGGTATAGAGAATAGTGTGGGGGAAAGTATCATTCATTCATTTAATAGCTGTTAAATTAGAGATAATGATTGTTTTTGGTGATATAATGATGAGAGAAACAGATATGGACCCTAACTTCACAGAGCTGAGAATCTAGTGGCAGAGGAATATTAATGATCACAAAACACATAGTTACAAACTATGATATATGTGCTGAAAGAAGTATAGTAAATTATACAAATATAGAATTTTGCAGTTTTATTTTATATAGGGTTTTATTCAGTCTCACTTTATGAGAAGTAACATTTGAGTTTGAGTCTGAGAGATTTATAGCTGCCAAGTAGGTTTCATAAGTATCAACATTGAGTCAAGTTTTGATGTGATGGAGACTGTGCCAAAAACATAGGACATGGTTTCTTTGACAAGGAGATCATATTCTGGTTGAAAAATAATAATTTCCAGGTATTATATTTCTAGCAATAGTAGAATTAAATAAAGACAAGGTGTAGAGGGATAAAATGAACTCTGCCTGAAAGAAAATTAAAAGAGGTAGACTAAAATACACCATAGGTATAGAGAATAGTGTGGGGGAAAGTATCATTCATTCATTTAATAGCTGTTAAATTAGAGATAATGATTGTTTTTGGTGATATAATGATGAGAGAAACAGATATGGACCCTAACTTCACAGAGCTGAGAATCTAGTGGAAGAGGAATATTAATGATCACAAAACACATAGTTACAAACTATGATATATGTGCTGAAAGAAGTATAGTAAATTATACAAATATAGAATTTTGCAGTTTTATTTTATATAGGGTTTTATTCAGTCTCACTTTATGAGAAGTAACATTTGAGTTTGAGTCTGAGAGATTTATAGCTGCCAAGTAGGTGAAAGGGATGGAGTGGGAGTGGATGACACAATATTTTAGGCAAAGGAAACAAGACATAGAAAGGCCGTGAGATAGAGCAAACCACAGTTTACTAGAGGAGTTGAATGATATGTGTGCTTGGAGAACACAGAGCATGCTAGATAATGGACAAAACTGAACTAACAGGAGAGATACCTGAAACCTTGTGAGTCTGGGGAGGGATTTTTAGATTTTTCTTGAAACCAACTGAAAATATTATAGAGTTTTAAGTAGAGGATCACAGAGTCATATTTCTATTTCACAGATTTGGATAGAAAGAGGCAAGAATAGTTAAGACAATTGCAGAACTCAAGGCAAGCTATGCTGGTAGCTTGGATTAAGATAATGATAGCACATGATGGCAAAGTATACACAATTTGATTGTGAATTAAAAAGCAAAATGAATTGGATTAAATAATGGATCAGACATAGGAAAATAAAGAGAGAGGAAGTTGGCAAGTATAATTTATAGGCTGTTTTTGCTTATACATTTGAATAGCTGGGGAACACAGAAAAAGAAACAGATTGCAAGTAAAGGTTAGAAGTCTGGCTTGGATGTATTTGAGGAGACATTAAGTACAGATCACAAGGAGATGCTAGATGTTTGGTTCTAGAGCTTAAAGAGCTGGTCTAGAAATATAAATTTGAGGGTCAGCAGAAAATGTAGTAGTAAATTCTATGGAATTTGTAAGATTCAGGCAGAGAGGGAACAAAACATAAAAGAAAGCGATTAAGATAGAATATCAAGGGCCACCAAACATCTAAATAAATATGAGTAGACGGAAGAGACTCAGGTGTGTAATAAGATGATTAGAAAAAAATGAAGTATGGCAAGAAAAATACCAAGGTAATAAAATGTTACAAGAAAGATGAAATGGTTCCTGAAGAGGCAGGGAAAATTGAGTTTCAGGGCAAGTTAAAACAGTCAGCTTTAATAAGGGTAGCGACCTCTTGAAGAGCTGAATCATTGGAAAAGACCCTGATGCTGGGAAAGATTGAATGCAAAAGGGAGAAGGGGACAACAGAGGATGTGATGGTTAGATAGCATCACCAACCCAGTGAATATGAATCTGAGCAAACTTCAGGACATAGTGAAGGACAGGGAAGCCCGGGGCACTTCAGCCCATGGGGTAGCAAAAAATTGGACACGATTTAACAATTGAACAACAACAACAAAAGTGACCCCTCGAAATGAGTTGATAGAGTATATGTATATGCAGCTGATGGACAGATATTTAATGATTTAATAATTTTTATCTTTTTATTTCCACTTGTTTGTGTATAGTAAGGAAATATGTTCATATATAGAATGTGAAATGTTGGTGTGGTAGGGAGACTTGAAAGGAACATAGATTTGAATCATTATTGATTCAAAGGGTAAGAATGACATTGTGTATAAAAAAATATAAATATAGATATAAATGAGTGATTTCCAAGTAGTGTTCAGGGCCTATCTGACATTGATAAATATTCATATTTGTGATAGCAGCCAGCACTGCAGTATGACTATCTACAGCATTCCTAGGCTTCCCAATTGCACACATTGGAATAGCAGATGGCTTCATTTACCTAAGTTTGGGGATTCTGTTAGATAATTAAGGATAAAAGCAAAAGTGCCAGAAAATGCAGATCATTTAGACTAAGTATTAATACTTAGAAAAATGTCCAAAATATAATAGGTTATCAATATCAAATAAGTAAATTAAGAAATAGAATGTGGTACATTTAAATGACTACTACATGTTATGGAATGTAAATTACCCCTCAGTAAAGCTATTAAAAATCATAAAAACAAATAGAATTTAGAACCTAATGTCAGCAGAAAGGGAAATAAAAAGAAAAAAGGCATTGGTGAATAGATAAGAGTTAGACGTATCAAGGGACTAATGTTTCAGGTAAGACTGAAAAAGTGTCCTTAATGAGACTGATTGAATTAAGAAATTGGATAGTTGAAGATTGTGGTCTGAATTTGGATCATTAAAATCAGTGGCTTTGTAAATGAAGCAATTGGAAATAACACCTTCAGCTATATCAGTAAGTGTTTCTTATCTGCAACAGGAACTGTCATTGGCTGAATTAAGAAGATAAATTTGTTAAAGTCCACCTGTGTGCATGGCATTGTAGAAGAATGGGTTGCCTAGCTGGATTATAGTAAAAGAATATGTGGTATGAAAAATTCAGGAAGCTAAGAGGTGCATTTATTGGCTGGTTTTCTCATATAGATTTTGATGTCACCTAGGAGGCTGGAATAATTTGGATAGAGAAAAAGAACTGTGAGGAAAGGTGCTACAAACTTCAGTGAACTGGGAGGGGGTGATTTTTATAAGATTGATGAGAAAATAATGCAAGAAAAAAACATAACCAAATACATGGCCCTCAAAATAACGGTTTTTGTTTTAGTTAATTTTTTTTTAAATGAATAGAAATATATAGTGGCAGAGTTCTGGAAGCTATAGTAGAAAACTATGAGATAATGTGAGATTTGAGCAATTTTACAGCAGCAGTTTAAGGGGCTCTGCAGGGCTGGAGAAACCATGCATTCAGAGGGCTGTGTACAGCTGATAACAGACCAGTTACATGCCTTATGAAGGTAGTCAGGAGACAGATCTGTAGGTTGGCTTCTCCACATTGTAATACCATGAGCTAATGGGAACAAGATTTAAGGGGTCTTAGTGTGTTAATGCACTTCCCAACTGCCTACAGTGCAGGAGACACCAGAAATATGGGTTCGATTCCTGGGTTGGGAAGGTCCCCTGGAGCAGTGCATGGCTACCCACTCCAGTATCCTTGCCTGGAGAATCCCATGGACAGAGGAGCCTGGTGGGCTCCAGTCCATAGGTCACAGAGTTGAATGCGACTGAAGTGACTGAGAGCAGTCAGTTCCTAAAAAACCTAAAGGGGAGGAACTCTGCTTAGAATGTGAACCAAATTTTAATTAAAGCAAGAAAGTCAGGCAAAAAAGGGATGTGGCATATTTAAGGAGCTAATAAAGTGGTATTGCTAGAATCCTAAGAGTGACAAGGGATGAGTCTGTAGGAGTGGCATAGACAAGATAATCAGTCTTTTATGCCAAATAAAATACCATACATTTTATTCTGGAAGTGACAAATAACTATGAAAGAAATGATCAGATTATTGTTCTGGTAGCTTTGGGAGGATTTTAGGTTGAGCAATGAAACAGACATTAAGGATTTTACTACAGTCATCTCTGTAACAAAGAGTGAAGAGCTGAGCTACTGGACCTGTAACTGGTGTGCATGGAGATGAGCGGGCAAATTTGGGGACAATTCCAACTGCACTTGTTGACTAATAAGAGTTGAAGCATAATGGGAAGGGCATGTAGGATAATCCCAAACTTGTGCCTATGATGTGCCACTAACTGAACTATGGAAATAAAATAGTTTGTCTGAGGAGACAGAGGTCAAGGGAAGATAATGAAGAATTGAGTTTTGAAATTGTTGAATTTTAAATTCCCCATGGAACATACTATAATTAATTGTGAGGTGCTAGAATTATATAGAAAATTGAGTCTCCAGAGGATAGTGTCAAGTAAATCTATGAGAATGAATGAGACTGTCTAAGCAGAGAATTCTAGAGTGAGAATATGAGGAGACCAGCCAGGAACAGGGCCCTGGATTATCCTACATGTGAGGAAGAGAAGGCATTAAAGATGCTTCATACTTAGTGGTACAGGTCTTCAGATTCTGTAGTGATGGAAAGGACAAGTGTAAACTTCCCTGGATTTCATTGCTTCTTTAAATCACACACGCACACACACAGACACACACACACTAAACATGAATAAACAAGATCACCTTATGTGCCTTAAATACATATCTACCTGTTTGTTCAAGGAGACAGAGATTGAGAAACACAGCTCTAGTGTTATTGAGATTTTTTTTTTTTTTTTGGCTGAATGACCTATTTTCAGTTTTGGATCTATAACATATGCTTGCTCAAGCTCTATTCTGTATGAAATTGCTCTTTCAGATAATTGTTCCTGCCATGTTGTATAAAACATGGGCATAAATTAATTTGGTACACTAGAGAAACTCAGCTAAGATAAGGCATTTGTAAATAAGACCATGACGTTTGACTCTTTCCCTTACTTCATGCATCATTTCAGCTGTGCACTCTCTTCTGTAATTAATATAAATAACTAGGATCATAACTTCTATTATCACACATTTTTCTAATAGCTGCATGTAAGCAATGTCCACAATAAGAGACATTCCAAAAAGGTAGATCATGGGTTTGAAAAGGAAGAAAATAAAAAGACGACAAAAGAAAGATGGTTCTTCGTAAGTCAGTGTACCCAAAGGAGCTGCTTTTTTTTTCCTCTTTTCAGACAAATTTGTTTGCCCACCCACAAGACCTCACAGATGCAGAAATAACAGAATATGCCTGCAGCCTGAGCAAATGTGCAATGGGATCGATGACTGTGGGGACAACTCAGATGAAGATCCCTGCGGTGGTAAATCCGTTTAATGCAAAATAATTGATTCCATGTGAACTACAGATAATACAGTGATTAGGGCTCAAGAAATTAAAAAAAAATATTTTCATGTGGCATGTCTGATGGAAGATTATCAGGCACTTGATTTTCTGACAGTATGTGAAGATAATCCACTAACATTTCATATGCATAATAGAACTGTGCAACTGAATTTCTCCAAGTCTGTAAATCTCCATTGGTTATAGGTATTTTATTCCAGAAAGTACTGCATGAGAGAAACGCCATAGTGGTTTAAAATATTCTGTTAAACAGTTTCTTTCGTGGGGTTTTTATATAGATTGTGTATGTGTGTACACAGTCCCTTTTACACAATTCAGAAATTAAAATTCAAAAAATGAAATACCTTACTGAAATATTCAGGAAATCATTTGGTGACAGAACCTGACTTGACCTGACCTGAGGTAGTTAATATTACTTTAAAAAAGAATCTCGCTTTTGGTAAATATTCAAACATTTTCATGTGGAAATATAGTTATTTACTATAGGGGAAATATAGTGTTATTTTTCTAAGGTTCAAAAATTTCAGAAATTTTTCATTTAGTCCCAAGAGCTTCAAATAAAGGATTATGGATCCATGTTTTTCATAGCGTTTAGTAAAAATCTTAAAACTGTTATAGATAGTAAATTTGTTTTGATTCTGTGAAGCACTGATTTTTTTTTTTAATAACTTTATAGGTAAGCTTACATATAAAGCAAGACCTTGTAAAAAAGATGAGTTTGCTTGCAGTAATAAAAAATGTATCCCCATGGACCTCCAGTGTGATCAACTTGATGACTGTGGAGATGGTTCAGATGAACAAGGCTGCAGAATAAGTGAGTTTGTTTCCTGTTAAAGTGCAGCAACATGCAAGTTGAATTTCTGCTTCAATATTGCTGTGAGAAAAGATTACTCTTCAAAACATGCTTAAGTAATACTTTTTTTAAAAAAGCCTTTGCCAAAGTAACCTTAGAATATCACTTAAATTAATAACAGAAAGTATGAGGTAGGCAAGGCTGATTTTGCCTTCAGCTGTTAAAGCTGAAGCTGGAAACTCAGCATCCAAATACAGACTCTGATATCAGCAAAGAAATCTGTATCCCTTAATATTTTATTTTACAAAATATAAATTTAGTAGTTTTTGAATATTATGATTATATTAGGTTGAATGATGATACATGTCTTAATAATATATTCAATACTTTAAAAGTTCACTCCATTGCTGAGCCATTCTCAAAGAAGATATTGTTATTTTATTGTTAGAGTGTTATGATACTTGAGTCATGAGATCTTGATTATTAATAATTTTGCATTTCATGTTTGATATCTGATTTTTCATATTGAGAAAAATAATTAAGCTTGTGACCCTAAATTCTGATTGCTTATAAAAGTCACAAACGAGTGAGTCTTTTATTTTTTCTCATTTATATGTAAGTTATTCCCCACTGGTTGATGAAGCAGTATCCACCAGAATATGGCCATATGTATCTCAATCATGGTATAATTACACTGGTGTATCTTCACTAATGGGGCTTCACTGGTGTCTCAACTGGTAAAGAACCCTCAGCTGGTAAAGCCTGCTAAAGCAGGAGATGCAAGACTTGCAGATTCAATCCCTGGATCAGGAAAATCCCCTGAAGAAGGAAATGGCAACCCACTCCAGTATTCTTGCCTGGATGATCCCATGAACAGAGGAGCCTGGTGGGCTGCAGTTCATGGGGCTGCAAAGAGTCAGACATGACTAAGTGCGCATGCACAGCTTAATTAACTGCAAAATATCCAAGAATCAATGGGATTTAGTAATAATTATAATTCTGATAATTAAGGTTCTCATATTTCTCAGTAATTGAATTTGGTTAAGTAGAATATAGATCGTTCAATGTTACCCCTATAATATTCCGTCTCCTTTATTTGTACTCTAAAACATTTTCCTGAATTGGAGATAAAGCAATGAAGTTGCAAATACCCTGCTGCTGCTGCTGCTAAGTCACTTCAGTCATGTCCGACTCTGTGCGATCCCATAGAAGGCAGCCCACCAGGCTCCCCCGTCCCTGGGATTCTCCAGGCAAGAACACTGGAGTGGTAGCCATTTCCTTCTCCAATGCTCGAAAGTGAAACGTGAAAGTAAAACCGCTCAGTTCTGTCCGACTCTTAGCGACCCCATGGACTGCAGCCTACCAGGCTCCTCTGTCCATGGGATTTTCCAGGCAAGAGTACTGGAGTGGGGTGCCATTGCCTTCTCCAAAATACCCTGCTAGAAGCTGCAAATAACACATAATCTGTCCTCAATTGTATTACAACCCATGTACATTGGAACATAATACACACTCAAATGCTGCTCCCTGTATATGTTTAAGAACTGATGATTTAACCTCTTCTTTGAGTAACATGGTAGTACTCTTGACTGAGTTCCTGAATACTAAGTTTAAGTTAACAATAGATGCCTACATCTCTAGGTAGTTTCTAGGAAATGTTTTCATTCTTAGAGAAGAATGTGATTCTCATACATTCAAATGATATCATGGTAAAGATGGCCTATCATTAGAACCATTGACATGAATTCCTTTTAGAAAGTAGTATAGCTTAATAACAGCTATAAATATCAGCTGCTGGTAGCTTGGTCTAAACTATACTCAGTGTAAATGATTTTGGTTTTTATCGGCTTCTATTCTTTTATAAGAAATGAAGGCTTACATGGAGAGAAGATCATGACCTTATAAATTCAAAAAGAATAATCTATGGAATAATAAGGGTTTCAATAAATGTAATTTTAAATTAAGAAAAATAGTAAACTCCCACTTCAGGAATTAGAATTATATTAGTTTTGATCATATTTTTAAATCCTAGCTCCCAATGAGTATACCTGTGAAGATAATGTGAATCCATGTGGAGATGATGCATATTGTAATCAAATAAAAACATCTGTTTTCTGCCGCTGTAAGCCTGGATTTCAGAGAAACATGAAAAACAGACAGTGTGAAGGTATAGTACATTTCCTGAACAGCTTGCTCTTAAATCTTTAGGTTATGAAAGACTCCCAGGGCTGCTAAATTGTAAAATGACAAAGGACTGATTTTCATCCGAATGGTACATATCCACGGGATATCATTTTACTTATGAGAGTGAAAGTCCCTGGGGTCAAGAGCCTGTTTGTTTGTATTGCTAAACTAACCATTGCTGAGGCTTACAAAGCCTTTTCTATAGCAGATTCAGACCTGCAGGAATTTCAATTGTATTGCTACAATTCTGTTTTGAAATGCAAATAACGAAATTGCTTGTTCAGAAGCTATTGAAGAATTAGCAGCAACTCATGAAAGAATATGTTTATGATGACCCATTTCTCTTAAGTTGTGGCATTTGCAATACTGCAATAGGTAATTTGCTTTTAGAGAATGGTGGGTTTTTATCCTAACACAACGTCCTAAACAGTGCTTTATATTATTATCAAGAGTGTCTCCTAAAATTCAAAGACAGGATTTAAATAAATCTCTGTCAACTTACTTGTGATCATTTAAAAATTGAGCATCTAGGGGAGCAGGAATCTCATAGTAAGTTCTATCTAAATATAATTTACACTAGGACTTTACTGCCATGAAATACAGACCTAAATGCACTTTCTGCCAGTTTCTCCACTAAAATTGGTACTATAATTAGAACCAAACCTAAATTGTCTAAGTCTGATTTATCCAGGACAAATTCAAGTTGTAAAATGTTTTCACCTATCTGCTCTCTTCTCTAATCTCACCTTGTGTTATTCTTCGGTAAATAAAAGTGATTTCACATTGTGTCAATCAAAATGGAATTTTAAAAATTAATTGCACTCATCCATAGAGGAAATACTTGTTATCATGTCATGTATATGTCCTATATGTATATTTTTATGTCACATTTGTACTTTTAAGTTGTATATGTACTTGGATTATTCACGATATTTTATCTCCTTATTAACAAGGAATGTTGAAAACTGGCAACTTAAGTTTATATATTTTAATAAAAAAGTGAATAATTTCTCAAGACTAGATTATTTCTTCTTTCCTAGACACTTTATGTCAAAACACACACTTAAACCTGTTCAAGATTTTACTTTCATATAACATTAATTTTCAAATGCTTATTTTTGTATAGTGGGCTCTGTTTCCCGTATATACTAAGTTTAGAAAATGTATTCTTGAAAATTTCTTCATTTTTAGTAATATGCCATGGCAAATATGACCTGCAAGTTACATTCATTTTAAATCACTGTGAATCTAGTATTTCTGTTGTGTAAATGAGTACCTTCTGAACTCTAATAAAACTTGTATCTTCACGTAATCAATGAAGTTTTGATGGTAGACAAAAGCAGTTTGACGTGGTATGGAGAAGGGGAGAGAGATTATCTTGATTTGTAATCCAAGGAATTTAAATTTTTGTGTCCTTACTATAGGTAGCTGAAAAGAGCACAAGAAATCATTATTTGATTTTAAAGCCAAAGCGCTTTGAATAAAATATCTAAAGGGAAGAAAAATTTGAGAGAACAAGAATCAAGAAATAGAAATAGATTAATAATGGTTGTACATCAGGCACTATTCTAGGTCCTAGACATGTGTGAGATTCATCCATTGTCTTCAAAAGTTCTAAACACTGTGGTGGTTATGGAGATGAGGAGAAAATGGTGACTCTGGCCAATACAGGGCCATGTGAGGGAAATAAAAGTTTTATCCAATCATGCAGATTTTTGTTTATTTTGATTTCCGTTCAAAGAGAAACCATAGTAACAAATTACTCCCTGTTCAAAGTTACAGATGCCAAAAAACAAATGTTGTAAAACTTTTTTTTAACTGTTAAAAGATTTATTGCAATAATACAATAAAAGTTTAGAAAACATTTATTTGGGTGACTCAAACTGGTTTGGAAGTCGCAGAGCAGTGGGGAATCCTTGCAATGTGATACCTCAAGGAGATTCTTTTAACAGCATGCGATCAAACATTCTTCCCCATGTTATCAATGCACAACTCCTTACTGTAATACTTTTTTTATGACTGAGAATTGATACTATGTATTTTACTTATCCCTGGTATACCATTTGTTAACAAGGAAATGCAGTTTTAGCTCTTTACCCTGTATTGCAATTAAATATAGAATTGCACTCCTGAGAGTGCTTAGGTTCACCTTGGGCAAAGTGTCGTAGTAGAGCCCTGAGAATCAGGAAGCCTGAGTTTAAGCCTTGGCACTGTCATTTACAAATGTCACTGGGAAAGTCCTTATCTCTACAGTTGAGGTTTTAAGACTCTGTTGAGTGCTAAACAAGAGATAATTACTACCGCTGTGCTTATCCTTAAATTCCTCTGATTCAAGAGAAGGATTTATCTTACAGATTTATTAGGGCAACTATAATTGATTAAGGGGGCAGAGGAATTAAGCTGTTTGAAAGCAGAAGCAAAAGAAACTAGGTGATTCACCAGAATCACCTTAAAATTTTAAACTTTGGGGCATATATTAAGCCATTGACTATGCCTAAGATTTATTTATTACTTAGGATTTTATAGAAAATCATATATTTTATTCATTTTTATACAAGTATTCAGGATTTTATTGTTTATTTGCTTTTTTATTCGGTTGGCCCTTCTTATTACATTGTCACTTTCTATTATGAAGCCAGAAGTGTATTATCTATGTCTTCATTCTTTGTCATGAATTGTCTAAAATGCTGGCAATAAAACAATGAATAAATACTAATTTATGACTTCAGTCAAGTAGGGGATATGAATATGTTACCACATACATGAAATATAGTGTGAGAATGGCATAAGAAAGAAATCCCAAGGTAGCAAAGAGTGGAGAATCTATGTGATGGATAATCATTACCTTTTATTGATGGAAATGAAGGAAGCCTTCACTTCCGGTGAATCTTGAGAGATAAGTAGAAATTCAATATATAAAATGAGCATGGGTATTATAGGACAAAAGAATAGCATATGACATGTACAAATGTATGGAGGTAGGTAATCAGAAACACCAACATAAGTCTATTTGAGTCAATGAAAATACTAGGGAAGTTTGAAATGGATATTTCAAAATGTTAAGTGGATTAACAAGCAATGCACAATTGATGAGTCATTATAGTGAAAATATTGAGAAAAAAAGTGGTTACGGCCAGAAAATATCACAGAGCAATGTAAGAGTTTGAAAAGACAATGAAAGACATAGGAATAAGAAGTTGAAGCACACTAAATAAATTTTTCTTTGTTGAAATGAGGAAAGAATGAAAGTACTAACAGGGGATATGATGATGCTATTTTGAGCTCTTCTTTTCTAGACCTTAATGAATGTTTGGTATTTGGCACATGTTCCCACCAATGTATAAATATAGAAGGATCATATAAATGTGTGTGTCACCAGAATTTTCAAGAAAGAAATAACACCTGCATAGCAAAAGGTAAAGATAAATAACCATGATTTTAAATATTATTATAATTTTTGTATAAACATCTTATGGGGAAAAATGTTTCATATTGCATTTTAACAATGGCTTAATGCCTGAAAATATAAAATAAATTTCTTCTTAAGACTGGTATATTTCTCCAGTTTATTATCATTCTTAATTAATCTGGGAAGGTTTAGATGACTGTCAAATACTAGGCTACTATTAAAATCACATTTGTGTTTGAAACAATTTGTCAGAAGGGGGTAGAACTTCAAAAGCCAGTGTGATAGAATATGAAATGTCTTCCTGTATGTCCTGCTCTCAGTATACCCAAGGAAATATTGCACCACTGGGATAAAAATAACAGGTTAAATTAAAGGTTAGCATTATAAAGAGAATGGAATTTTGAATAAGAACTTAAAGGTTTTAAAATAAAAGTATGTTTTAAAATCCAGACCTCCTCTACTTAAGAATATCACTTTTTAAAAATTAAATGACAGGTATGGCTTTCTTCAATGTGAATTTTAATGCACTTATGTTTTTACTAAATAATATTATAATTTAAATATTGTTAACTACAGGGAATGATTAGCAATGTTAATAAGACAGTTACTAGAAGAGGAAAGCAACATGATATAGTGAATCAAGCAAGGATGGCTATGGAGTTAGACTTGTGTTTGAATCCAGCATTGATCCCCTCTGATTGTGTGTACTCAGGGAAGTTATTACTCTCAGAGCCTCAGTTCTTCATCTATAAAATGGGAGGCCAAATCCTTACTTTCCATGTTGTTGTAAGAGGTGATAAATTGTCAAAGGCTTGATGCAAATCCTATCACATGATAAACATCCACTAAGGGAGAGCTGTTGAGTCTATAGAGTAGAACTACAACTTGTGTATTAGTTACTGGTTTTGGGTTTTTTTTTTTAATTTGAAATTCAGTTTTTTTTATGGTTTCATTAATATTTTAATTAATATTTTCAGGATTCACCTTAGGATTTTCTTATCTATGTATGCAAATGACATCAATATTACATTGTAGGTGTCAAAACTTCAGGCTACATGATTACCTTTAGCTTAGCAAGATCCTAGAAAATATTGAGATTATGGCAATAAATACTGTTATCTTTGTATGATAAGATAAGAGAACAGTTGAGATATATGAATATTAGAAGAAGACTCTTCATCTCATAATTTTTTATTTGTTAGCCAAAGGTAATGGTCACTCAGGTACATAAACTAAACACAGAAATGTATGATGCTGAGTACAAAACGTGGTCTCTGAATGTTCAGATGCAAAGCACTGAAGCATATTGTGACCTACAGAACACAAATCCCTCTTCATAAAGAGGGTAACTACTAAAAATTTCTAGCCACTAGGTAAGCTTTGACCAAAGAAAACCTATATTAATAACTCTTAGAAATGTTACTTAAGCACATTTTATACACAAGTCATGAAGACTAAATGATGGTATAAAACTGGCTTAATTTTATGGAGCAAGAAACTGTGTTAAGAATAACAATTCAAGATGATTTAAAAGTACATTTGTTGCTTTTACATTAGTTGAAATTTACTTTATTTTTGTATTTTATTATAATAATCTCCAGGCTCTGAAGATCAAGTTCTCTACATTGCTAATGACACTGATATCCTGGGTTTTATATATCCATTCAACTACAGTGGCGATCATCAACAAATTTCTCATATTGAACATAATTCAAGAATAACAGGGATGGATGTATATTATCAGAGAGATATGATTATTTGGAGTACTCAGTTTAATCCAGGCGGAATTTTCTATAAAAGGATCCATGGCAGAGAAAAAAGGCAAGCAAACAGTGGCTTGATTGTAAGTAAATGTAATTGAATATTTGAAGGCTCATGACTCATGCCTCCCCCTGTTTTATTTCCTGTTTTTTTTTAAAATTTGTCAATCAGGATATTTGTGAGTTAATTAGTCAATGATTCCTCCCAATATTCTCCCTGTATATAAATAAAAATATCCTTACTCATTTATTCTTATAGCTGGATATACTTCATTTTAATTGCATGATATTATGTTTTTCATTAATATATTTTCTATAGTTATATAAGAATGGACATTAATAGTACCTAAAATTTCTAGAACTTTTAATATTTTATAGTATTTAATATATTATGAACATGAGTTTTTTTTATCACAAGATCATATTGGAAACCATCACATTATTTTTATATTAGAAAATCAACTCAAAAATATACATATTAAATTGTTTCATTTTTAACAATATCAGAAATCTGTTTCTCTACTAGGGCAAGAGATCAATTCAATAGTGTAAGCATATCTTCTGACTGCTAATAACTATATTTCAGAGAACATCCAAAATAGAGCAGTGTTGTTTGCTGGCATATGACAGACACATTGATTATCATGGTTATTCCTTTAGAGAAAAATAAGCTAAAACATTTGTTTAGAGTTATGGTTTTAGGTTATCTTTTTTGTTTGAGGGCATGTCAATTTATTGTGGATTTTATGTTTTGAGGTAACCTGACAAGAATAACAGATAAAGTACTTATTTTGAGAGAGCCCTAGCCCATTCCCATACAACCAAAACGTCAAGTATGGTATCTACCATAGATTTAAACTCCATAAATTAAGGTACATTAATGTACATTAGTAATGAATGTACATTCATTTGACATACCTGAAACACTATTTTTATTCGTAGTAGGTGGCAATAAGCTGATTTTAAAAGAAGCTATATTATTAGCTTTTAAATTCAGGTCAGATTAACTGTGAGTAAAAATCCACCCATATCAGAGTGATTTATTTAAATCCTCCTCCTGCAAACCCAGTGTTATAAGACAACTTCTCTGGTGCCTCAGATGGTAAATAATCTCCCTGCAATGTAGGAACCCCAGGTTCGATCCATGAGTTGGGAAGATCCGCTGGAGAAGGGAATGGCTACCCACTCCAGTATTCTTACCAGGAGAATCCCATGGCCAGAGGAGCCTAGCCGGCTACAGTCTGTGGGGTTGCACAGAGTCTGACATGACTGAATGACTAACACGTAGGTCTATTGTTAGTAGAGGATAAAGCCAAAACTTTCATTGGATCATTCCACTCTCCATCACCCACATATAATCTTCTATTAGAATGAAAGACTGACTCAGTCTTGATTACCTTTATCTTTCTTTATCTATAAAACAGACATTGACTTTGCAAAAACATTGGTCCTGTGGTACAATTTTATGTATTAATGAAGTGATAATGAAGTATTATGAAGTTATATTACCCAGGGCTTAATCATGTTCCTGTTCTTTACTAGCCTTTTAGTTTCTCTATCTTCACCATTTAATAAGGTTTCTAGGGAAGAATACATACAGATACACACACACATACATACTGTACATTAGTATTAATAGTTCTTGGCACATAATAAGCACTTTTTAGATTTCAGTTCAGTTCAGTCATTCAGTCCTGTCGAACTCTTAGCAGCCGCATGGACTGCAGTACATCAGGCTTCCCTATCCATAACCTACTGCTGGAGGTTTCTTAAACTCCTGTCTATCAAGCCAGTGATGCTATTCAACCATCTTATCCTCTGAGGTCTCTTTCTCCTCCCATCTTCAATCTTTCCAATCGTCAGGGTCTTTTCCAATGAGTCAGTTCTTTGCATCAGGTGGCGAAAGTGTTGGAGTTTCAGCTTCAGCATCAGTCCTTCCAATGAATATTCAGGACTGATCCTTTAGGATGGACTGGTTGGATCTCTTTGCAGTTCAAAGGACTCTCAAGAGTCTACTCCAACACACAGTTCAAAAGCATCAATTCTTTGACACTCAGCTTTTTTTATAGTCCAACTCTAACATCCATACATGACTACTGGAAAAACCATAGATTTGACTAGTTGGCAAACTAGTCTCTGCTCTTTAATATGCTGCCTAGGTTGCTCATAGCTTTTCTTCCAAGGAACAAGTGTCTTTTAATTTCATGGCTACAGTCACCATCTGCAGTGATTTTGGAGCTCAAAAAAATAAAGTCTGTCACTGTTTTCATTGTTTCTCCATCTATTTGCCATGAAGTGGTAGGATTAGATGCCATGATCTTCATTTTCTGAATGTTGAGTTTTAAGCCAACTTTTTCATTGTCCTCTTTCACTTTCATCAAGAGGCTCTTTTGTTCTTCATTTTATGCCATAAGGGTAGGGTCATCTGCATATCTGAGGTTATTGATATTTCTCCTAGCAATCTTGATTCCAGCTTGTGCTTCCTCCAGCCCAGTGTTTCTCATGATGTACTCTGCATATAAGTTAAATAAGCAGGGTGACAGTATACAGCCTTGACGTACTCCTTTCCTGATTTGCAACTAGTCTGTTGTTTCATGTCCAGTTCTAACTGTTGCTTCTTGACCTGCATACAGATTTCTCAGGAGGCAGGTCAGTATGGTATTCCCATCTCTTTCAGAATTTTCCACAGTTTGTTGTGATCCACACAGTCACAGGCTTTAGCATAGTCAATAAAGCAGAAGTAGATGTTTTTCTGAAACTCTCTTGGTTTTTTAATGATCCAGTGGTTGTTGGCAATTTGATCTCTGGTACCTCTGCCTGTACTAAATCCAGCTTGAATATCTGGAAGCTCATTGTTCACATATTGTTGAAGCCTGGCTTAAAGAATTTTGAGCATTACTTTGCTAGCATGTGAGATGAGTTCAATTGAGCGGTAGTTTGAACATTCTTTGGCATGGTCTTTCTTTGGGATTGGAATAAAAACTGATATTTTCCAGTCCTGGGGCCAGTGCTGAATTTCCAAATTTTCTGGCATATTGAGTGCAGCACTTTCACAGCATCAGGTTTTAAGATTTGAAATAGCTCAACTGGAATTCCATCACCTCCACTGGCTTTGTTCATAGTGAAGCTTCTTAAGGCCCACTTGACTTTGCATTCCAGGATGTCTGGCTCTAGGTGAGTGATCACACCATCATGGTTATCTGGGTCATGAAGCTCTTTTTCTATAGTTATTTGGCATATTGTTGCCACCTCTTAATGTCTTCTGCTTCTGTTATGTCCATAATATTTCTGTCATTTATTGTCCCCATCTTTGCGTGAAATGTTCCCTTGGTATCTCTAATTTTCTTGAAGAGATCTCTAGTCTTTCTCATTCTATTGTTTTCCTCTATTTCTTTGCATTGATCACTGAGGAAGGCTTTCTTATCTCTCCTTGCTATTCTTTGGAACTCTGCATTCAAATAGATATATCTTTCCTTTTTTCTCCTTTGCCTTAGCATCTCTTATTTTCTCAGCTCTTTGTAAGGCTTCCTCAGACAACCATTTTGCCTTTCTGAATTTTTTTTGGGGGGAATGGTCTTGATCATCGCCTCCTGTACAATGTATGGATTAACAGGATGATGTAATGACAGTGATGAGTTGATGATGACAGTGATGCTGATGATAATTGACAAAATGTTCTTCCCTACAATGCATAATCTCACATTGAAAATTAATTGCATACTACTCTTGTCTGAATTTAATAGTTGCTAAAAATATATCTTTATTTTGTATATAACAACCAGTGAAAATGATTTGATAATTTTTTATATTTGTTCTTGGAGGGATGGATAAACACAATCAGTAACCTACAGTTTCTGTTCAGTCGCTCAGTCATGTCCAACTCTTTTCGATCTCATGAACCGCAGCACACCAGGCCTCCCTGTAACCTCCATCACCAACTCCCTGTCACCTCCATCACCAACTCCCGGAGTCCATCCAAACCCATGTCCATTGAGTCGGTGATGCCATCCAACCATCTCATCCTCTGTTGTCCCCTTCTCCTCCTGCCCTCAATATTTCCCAGCATCAGTGTCTTTTCAAATGTGTCAGCTCTTCACATCAGGTGGCCAAAGTATTGGAGTTGCAGCTTCAAAATCAGTCCCTCCAATGAACACCCAGGATTGATGTCCTTCAGGATGGACTGGTTGGATCTCCTTACAGTCCAAGGGACTCTCAAGAGTCTTCTCCAACATCACAGTTCAAAAGCATCAATTCTTTGGCTCTCAGCTTTCTTTATAGTCCAACTCTCACATCCATACATGATATACTCCTTTTCCTATTTGGAACCAGTCTGTTGTTCCATGTCCAGTCCTAACTGTTGCTTCCTGACCTGCATATAGGTTTCTTAAGAGGCAGGTCAGGTGGTCTGGTATTCCCATCTCTTTCAGAATGTTCTGCAGTTTATGTGATCCACACAGTCAAAGGCTTTGACATAGTCGATAAAGCAGAAATAGATGGTTTTTGGAACTCTCTTGCTTTTTTGATGATCCAGCGGATGTTGGCAATTTGATCTCTTGTCCCTCCGCCTTTTCTAAAACCATCTTGAACATCTGGAAGTTGGCAGTTCGTGTATTGCTGAAGCCTGGCTTGGAGAATTTTGAGCATTACTTTACTAGCGTGTGAGATGAGTGCAGTTGTGCCGCAGTTTGAGCATTCTTTAGCTCCCCTGGTGGCTCAGAGGTTAAAGCGTCTGCCTGCAATTCGGGAGACCCAGGTTCGATCCCTGGGTCGGGAAGATCCCCTGGAGAAGGAAATGGCAACCCACTCCAGTATTCTTACCTGAAGAATCCCATGGAGAGAGGAGCCTGGTAGGCTACAGCCAATGGGGTCGCAAAGAGTCGGACACAACTGAGCGACTGAGCAACTGGTTGTTTAAAGAAAAAAAATAATTAGTATAACCAATAACCTCCAGTGACTGTTTATTGCAAGTCAGGAGTCAAACTTACTTGATAACTAATTTTTTATTCTTATACAGTCAAGAACATAAATGTATAAATTTCATTTGTAATTTATATTTGCAAATTTTTAACCTTTATATATTTTA